ACCGTCGAACTAACCGTCATCACAACTGAACTTCATCAAAATTGCCATTACTTACTTACATAATTGTCCGCGCGTTAAGTGATTCTTATCAATCTTTATCGATACCAACACGATGGTAATCGCGTAGGAGCGCTTCGGCGACTAACGAGTCCCGCGGGAACGATTCTTCCGTTCAACTGGCGCTCGTAGGCATCATACAGTTATCGAATCGCGTACTCGTTGGTCCTTCGCGAGACTCGTTGCCCACCGAATTCGCAATTCGCGAGTGTCATTCCGCATGTTCGATTAGCCTTTCGATGTTCACAGCTAGGATATTCGTCCGCGACCGTGTATCTTTCGATATAGTTTCCGCTTTGTACAATGACTATGCATATATTTATCGCGTAAGATGTCGAATCGTCTGCCGCAAGACTGCAGTTGAAAATGCAACACAGGGATGCAACACGATTCGGAACGATCGTCTAATTCGGGACGCGCGCTCTCAGCTTCGGATTAAATTGCGCCACGTAAATCGATATGATATTACTATTCCACGCTACCGGAGCGATTTTTTCTACGTTTTTGTAATTTCTCGACAGCCGTGCTACGTCAAAGCTATTTGTCCGTTCAAACCAAAGAAGGAAATACGAACATCTTACGATCTCGCATTTCGTTTGATTACCTCGTTTGATTGATTGATTCGTCGACAATTCGTTACGCTGTCATACGATAGTATGACAGTATACAGTTTATCTCTTGACATTGCGAAATTATTATGTACAAAATTGTTGTATATAAAAAAATGCGCTCATTTCAATTACCAGAAAACGAAGCGGAAAATAAGTTGGTTTTACATGCGTTAAAATTTACATATCAAACGTGTGCGACACGTGACACGGCTTAGTGATTATTAGCATTGTATTAACTGTTCGAGAAATTTCTATTTTATTCTCATGTGCAATAAATAACGACGCGCTAAAGCGTTATGTACTGTGAAAAGGAAAGCCCCTTTTTGGGTTTCTAAGTTTTCTAAAGTCATGTGTAAATATTGTTTGAGAAACTGTATACTCGCAGAAGCATCCTTCTCACGCGACACATTCACGTGCAATGACATAAACACGTTTGCTAAGTTATTGGGACAAGCGATCGCACGAAACGATCTGCTATCGCACTGATGAGAATTATGATCTGAATATTTTACATTGTTGTATTAAGCGCTGAGTGATTTATATGTTCGTCGTCGTGGATTATTATTTCGTGCCGACGCCAACCGATGAATTAAGAGATACGTACTGTCGTCGATCTTTGACGTTACGAACGCACTAAACCTCGATTCGTTTCGCAAACGTGTAAGACTCTACGACGTTTCGGCAAACAATACAATACGTTAAGTTTGACGTTGTCTCGACATTCACATCGGTGATGCAGCGAACGGGAGAAACCAAAGTTTCGGACATATTTTCTGTGATTCGCAGCGAAAGGATCGCGATAGCGGTAAAAAGAGAGATAAAAAGAAAGAAAGAAAGAAAGAAAGAAAGAGCAACGGCGAACGCGAGGAAGCTCGACGGCCATGGCACAGCTTGCAATGAGGAAACTTGCAATATAACAAGCAATAACTAAGCCCCTTTTAATTCCATGTATATTAAACGATTATGTGGATGCTTAAACAAGATTTATTAAAATTATAAACGAGCAAGCCAAGGGATAAGATGAAAAAAAATACCAATTTTACATATTCTTACTAATCGTAAACGATTACAGTACATATAGCGATATACTAAATTATACGATTATGTATCGACTTAAAAGGAAAAAAGAACAAAAAATGGTATATATACATAACGATAGGCCGCCTGCGAGCGAGCGAGCAAGCGAGCAGACGCTAATCTAATCTACATAAGTACGTAAAGGTTTCAATTTTACACTACCGATAATAATGACATAACGATAAGACTATATAAGATATATTGATGATTTATAATAATTATAACGTTGTACAGAATATTTATGAAAGGCCCGCTGCTGGATGGAGAACCGAGGGTCCTCCTCTCGCGAATGTTAAAAAAAAAGTCGCGACTGGCGATCGAATGAGAAGCGGAAAGGTCGGTACAGCCCGCTCAATCACTCGAGCGATAAGGTCGTGGAGAAGAGGGGGCGAAAGTTAAGCGGCGACAGGAACTCGACTCTCTGTCCAAAAGCGGCCAGACTATAATGGATGTTTTGTAAGATAAAAACAAAACGATCGCGGGAGAATGCCGAGGTTGCGTTCGAGGAAGCGAATCGATCGATTGGGCCGATCGATTGAAGCACTTCGTATTCTGTCGGCGATGCTTCTCAAACGGATAAAAAGATAATGCGGGATTGGTCGATTGCGCGATACTCGAGCGATTAGCGGGGACGAATACTCGGTCCCGGGATATTCAAGTGAGGAGAAAAGCGAGATAGGAACAAAAAATAGAAAGTGAGAAATTATCCGCCACAGTGTGGCGCGTGCGAGGGCCGATAATCTAATTAATTGTGTATGTATACAAACAAAAATAAATATATAATATTGCGATTATAAATATTAAACTAATAAAAAATAACAATATTATACCCCTCTGTACATATAAATATATATTATAATACAATGATTATTGCTATATGATTTATTATAAATATATATATACATAAATATAAATATAACTCATGAATTCACATTATTATGTTTATTATTGTTTACTTATGATTATTGAAATTATTATCATTGCGATGATGATGAGAATAATGATGATGATGAAGATGATGATGAGGGCGATTATATATGATTATTATTATTATTATGATAATATTATTAATATTTAAGAAAAGGTTCACAACGTGCCGTGTGTATGTGGGAATAAAACATAATATAATGGACATTGTTCAATTCAATCTAATGTCTCTGTGATTTATTGCATCCTACCTATCAGCGTACCGACAGACATTATTTATTGCTGTGAATCCATGAATTATTAATCGATTTGATTGTGATCAGACGTGGAATGCGTATAGAATCTTGTCGAATCAAACACGATTTTGCTAGTTAAAAAATATATACACGTAACCATAATTGGATAAAAATTAGATAACTTTAAAATGTCAATTAACGGTTGTCTCAACATTCTCCGGCGAGTATTTCTCGAATATTCTTCGCGAGCACGGCGCTGCATTCAAATATACGCAGACATATTTCTATGTAAAGATATTCGCGAAACATTGCTCAAATCGTCACGATGGCCTAATTGCGCGAATTTCTTATTATCAGTAATATGACTCACCGTTAAGTCGAGAAGACATCGTTCCTTGTCGATAGAGAGTATTATTTATCCAACTCATTGTTTACTTCCACAGGAACATGAAAAGTCCTTCCGATTCGATGTTGAGTCGCCCGATGTGAGATCAAAATGGCCTACAGCTTACCGCTACCGTTCAAATATACGTTTCAAAGTGGACCTCGCGCCATCTATAGGGGAATTAAAGGAAACTGCTGGTAAAGCAGAATACGATTTTTAGAGGTTGAATTCCAGCTAAATGACCCTTTACTACAGACGCACTATTTTTATTCGGTTTGAATTCGGCATGAAAAAATGACCACCGTCTTTAATAAGAAATAAAGATTCTTATTATAAGCGTATATTTTTGATAATATATTATTGGTATGGAAAGTATTCGTTTTGTTATAATAAATACTGTATGACGAGGAATTAAAGCGGTTAAGAGATAAAATGCGCAACGATCGGATTTAGAACTTCATTAATAGAAATGCGAAACAGTTAAACAGAACATATAAATATGATTACAGTTGGATTAAAATTAGATTATGTTAAAACGGCAAATAAGTGTCATCCGTATTCGGATATTTTTCGCAAGCACTGTGCAAACATTTCACGTAGGAATATTTGCTCGAATCGCCATAAAGCCCTAATCGCGCGAATTTTATATTTTCAGTAATATAAATCACCGTCAGGTCGAGGGGACGTCATTTGCCGTCGACAAAGATCATAATTTACCTGTTTCATTGTTTATTGCCACAGCAAAATGAAAAGTCCTTCCAGTCCAATGTTGAGTTGTTCGATGTGAGATCAAAATGGCCTACAGCTTACCGTTACCGTTCAAATATCCGTTTCAAAGCAGACCTCGCGCCATCTGTAATACGATTAATGAAAACTATTCGGTAAAGCAGAGTACAATTTTTAGGGGTTGAATCTCAGCTAAATGACTCTACGATTAAACACGTTATTTTTATTCGGTTCAAATTCGGCATGAAAAAATACTCACCGTCTTCAATGAGAAATAAAGATTTTTATCATAAGCGTGCACTTTTAATAGCATATTGTTTTATAAAAAAGTATTAGTATTGTTATGATAAATACCATGTAACGAGAAATTAGACCAATAAGAGATAAAACGCCCAACGGTCGAAATCTTATTAAAACGAACGTGAAACAATTAATCAGGAAGTACATATATAACCACGTCATATCAGTTTCGTTGATTTAAAGCAAGATTACGTTAAAACGTCAATGAATGTATTATCTAAATATCATCCGGCAAATATTTTTCAGATATTTTCGCGAGCACTCCATTGCTCACATATGCGCAGCATGTTTCTACGTACGAATATTCAGGAAATTTTGCTCGAATCGCCATGAAGCCTTAATCGCGCGAATTTCATATTTTCAATAATATAAATCACTGTCAAGTCGACGGGACGTCATTTTCTGTCGACAGAGATCATAATTTACCTGTCTTATTGTTTATTACCACGATAAAATGAAAAATCCTTCCGATCCGATGTTGAGTTGCTTGATGTGAGATAAAAATGGCCTACAGCTTACATTCAAATATACTCCAAAGTAGGTCTTCTCGCACCATCTATAGTACGATTAATGAAAACTGTCCGGTAAAACAGAGTACAAATTTTAGAGTTTGAATCTCAGCTAAATGACCCTTTACGATTAGAATAATCAATTGTGATTGGTCAATTCTCTTATGACCTTGCAACTTAGGACTTTACTGTCCTCTACTGTAGATTCCGCTTTCTCTTTAATCTTTAAAGATAAAATAACTTAAAAGTTAATTACAAGTCCTGAGTGTCAGCTGACGTGATTCTTCTGTAATTCTAAACTGGACAACGTCACGTCAGTTTCGTTGTCACAAAACTTTCGATCTTGTCAAATGTTTAATACAATAGGTTATTTGTAATCTATGTTTAAATTAAATATCTATTTTATATATAACCATTATATAAAAACTGTGCGTTCTACAGAGTTACAACAAATTACAATAATATGACAGCCGGGATACTGCTACAGCTGGGTAACACAGCTAATAAATGGTGCGAATGTTTTCCATATTTTTTCCTATAATTTAATTTTTACACAACTTATAAATTCTTTCCTTATTTCTTACAAATTTTTCTATACTTTATTTGAACAAGATCTTTTATGCTAAATACAAAATTACAATTATATATATTTTATCAAAAAAATCATGGTAAAATTTTATATATCTATTTTGCAAGATTGTTAAAAATTTGTGTAGTTTTAATCATAAGATATTATATTATACTTTTACCACTGTAAAAACTTTTGTTGTGAAAACTATGCTTTAAAATTTAATTATACTTATGGGATTTCAGTCTGTTTGCAACTGTACAATATTGCAGGCCTCAACTGCAAATATCACAATATAGACAAATAAGGAACTTGAGAAAATTTGGAATATCCGTAAAAAAATCAAAATTTTCTTCTCCAAATGTTGATGTCGAACTTGAAAAAATACAATCTTCAAAACTGTGGAAGCATCTCGGTTTTACTGTTTTAGTAAGAAGTTTGTTGTAAAATTATTTGCTTTGTGTCATTTATTAAAAACAATAAATTTTATATACCTAAAAATGAAATATTTATTTACGAGAATAAAGATAGAAGAGTTAACAATAACAAAGCTAGAAATATTTATATATCAATTGTCTCTTTAAAATATCATTAAACAAGTGATTCTTTTTATAATCATTTTATACATGTTTTCTTGGTATTAGTTTGGTGGAACTTCCATAGTGGGTGCTGCAATTTGGGAATATGAAAATAGCAGACAAGAAATGTATAGAATACTTAATTATTATAAACAGATTCAAATTAATGTACGTATTAATTGAAGAAATACTCCAGATGATTTTCTATACATTAATATATATACTTGTAATATATTGTTTAGCGAACAGGATGGAGGGCTAAGATGGAAACATGGTGGAGAAATTTGACAGAGGGACAAAGAGTATTTGTGCCTATACTTTTCTTAAACACAATTGTATTCTTGGCTTGGCGAGTACCAGCATTTCAGAAGACTATGGTGCGTTATTTCTGCTCTAATCCTGCCTCCAGTAAGTTTTATTATTATATTAAACAATTAATACAACTTTAAAAATTTTTATCAATTTTGACTGAAATAATTTTCATATAAGGTGTATCATGTTGGCCTATGGTATTCTCCACATTTTCTCATTACAACATATTTCATCTGGCTGCAAATATGTTTGTATTACACAGCTTCAGTTCATTAATTGTGTCAACATTGGGGAAAGAGCAATTTGTGGCTCTTTATTTATCAAGTGGAGTGGTATCTAATTTTGTTAGTTATATATATAAAACTATTCTTAAATTACCAGTTATGTCTTTGGGAGCGGTAAGTAACTTTATATAAAAATATAAAGATGAAATGTAATTTCAAATTTTTCAAAGTTTTGTTTCTTAATTCACTACTTTCATTGCAGTCAGGAGCTGTCCTAGGCGTTATTGGATTCACTAGCACAGAGTATCCCACCATGCCACTATATTTAATTTTTCTCCCTATGTTCACATTTTCAGCCGGTGCGGTATGTATTATAAACATTGTTACAAATATTGTCATAATATAATATTTATCACATCTTGTCTCGTTTAGACAATCAAAACATTATTGGTTATTGACACTATTGGTTGTATCGCACGATGGAAATGGATTGATCATGCTGGACATATAGGTGGTACATTATTTGGGATGTAAGTTATATCATTCAAATCAAAAATGAAGATTAACAATTGAACAATTATGAAAATTTAAAAGTTTCCTTCCTATGTTAACAAAAGAAATATTTACTATTTTATAAATTTCAAACCTGAATTATTTTGAAATATGCAACTATTTTTATTATATTTATTAAATAGTATATAGACATGTGTGTATGTAGATATGTACATACATATGGATATGTACATTCAGAATCATTTTTAAAAATTGTAGATTCTGGCAAGTTTGGGGTCGTAATATTTGGGATCATCGGAAGCCAATTTTGACTTTATGGCATGAGTTCAGAGAACCTCGAAGATCACAATAATATTTTTATATATCTTTAAACTTAGGCTCCTATTTGTTGTATTTTCTGCAACAACATGTGTGTCTTACGTGAAAATTATAAAATTTATGTCATGAAGATATATATAACATATTACTATATAAGCAACATATAAGGATTAAAAATTTTACATTTCTACTATTTATATATAATACTAGAGCCATACAAGATATATAATTTGTTTTACTATTATACTTATACTTACTATATTTGTTTTAATTATATATAATGTTATTAATAAGTATTAATAGTAAAAACAGAATTTTATCCCCAATAATATCCGACATAAGATATCTCTCTCCCTTCTTACTTTCTCTGTAAATTTATAAAACACGTAATCTTTGCGAATTATTTAACCGCAAATTGTCAAAATCGCCAGTACATTATCATTGTGACGATATAATAATACAATTAGTACAGAAAAAAAGCTTCAAAGCTTCAACACATTTAAAATCTTGATTAATATATAAGACGTCTTTTTTTAGAAAGTATATCTATTCCGTATGAAATATATTTCTACTCTCTTAAAAAGATATATATATATATATATTACATAATGATAATTACACAACTTTGATTCAAAAAACTTTATTTTTATTTTAATTATGCATGTAAAAAATATTATAGCATAATTTCAAAATCTTATTGTTTGGATAAAGCATCAGCATCAGGTAAATCTAATTTTTAAGAAATTTCATATGATGTTTAAAGTGATCCTCGATAAATGTAGCTATAAAATAATAACTGTGATCATAGCCCTCTTGAAATCTGAGAACGAGCGCTATGCCGTTATCTTTTGCAGTATTTAATAGATTCTCTGGTAACAATTGTCCTTGTTTCAGAAACTGATCCTCTTTGCCCTGAAATGGTAATTTTTTTATGCAGTCAAATTATTACATATTTGTATACTATAAATATATTGCAAAGGAAACCAATCAGACCTGATCGATTAAAATGTCCAGAGGTGGGCCATTATATTTTTTTGCTAATTCCGTGCTATCCCATTCTTTCCATGTAATATTATCCTCTGTCTCTCCCAAATATCCTGAAAAGGCTTTCTTTCCCCATGGACATTGCGTTGGATTACTTATAGGTGCAAATGCTGAAACTGTCTTATATTGTCCAGGGTTTTTAAGAGCACATATTAGCGCACCATGTCCTCCCATACTAAATAAGATACAAAAGAAAAGCTCCTTTAAAGACTATTTATAAAATATTCATATAAAGACTTATGTCCATTGTATGTACCTGTGGCCCATAATGGATTGTCTATCTGGCAATGTTGGAAATTCTTGATTGATCAGAGCTGGTAATTCTTTGGTAATATAGCTGTACATTCTGTAATTTTTTTTCCATGGCTCACATGTTGCATCCACATAGAATCCTGCACCAGTGCCAAAATCATAACTATCATCTTCTCCAGGGATATTCAGTCCTCTTGGGCTTGTATCTGGTATGACAAGCAGCACACCATGTTCTGCAGCATACTTTTGAGCTCCAGCTTTTTCACTAAAGTTAGCTTCGGTACAAGTAAGACCAGATAACCAATAGGTAACTGGAACAGGACCCTCTTCAGCTTGGGGTGGCAAGTAGATGGCAAATTTCATTTTGCATCCTAATTCTGTGCTATAAAATAATTGCAATTATTATTTCTAACACATACAGAGTGTTTGAGAAATAGAGAAAATACAAACATTAGTTACATGCAGGCAGATTAGCAATAATTATATTTTTATATAAATCGTGTTTACCTATCATGTGAATATACCTTTTGCCATCCTCCAAAAATTTTATTACCTTGTACTTGTGTCAACGTAGACATCTGGAAGTTATTTGAGATTCTCATGGTTACATAAAATGAAATATTTTATCTGATTATGTAAATATTATATTAATCAACAAGGATTGAATAGGTTACAAAGGTTAGATAGATTGGATATCGAAGATCAACCGAATTAGTGTTAAAAAGATTATAACTTTTGCATTTACAAATTGTATACATATATGATATTACATATATATCTTTATTATAAGTTATACTTCAAATAATATATTTGCTATAATCATCCAATTTTATTGTATAAAAAAAGTTTTGCTATTAGTTAAACAAGTTTGAGAGAACAAATTAAAGTTTTTTACATAAATTATTTTTGTGTTATATGATAAATATACCTCCAATATACCAATCTTTAAAAAATTTACCTACTTTATATTGTTCAAAATATGCTGGCGACACGCGTAGTTTCGGCTGAAGCGCTTGTAAGCTCATATGATTCATTCATTCCTTCATTCAATATAAGGCTCTGAGTAGAGTTATTACACTCCTTCTCCTACGCCAATCACAACGATTTTGAAAATAAAAGAGAAACAGGGACAACGCGTACGCAGTTCCCAAGATCAAAAATATGCGTAGTTATAGGAACCACATCCAATTCGCCACGGAGGCGAACAAAACTCTCATATGATACGATGTAATTCTTATCATAGGGGAAAGCATACTTTAGACGTTGACCTGAAAATTCGTGTGAATGCGCCTTTATTTCTGCTACATACATATTTTACTCTTCCTGATATGAGAAATTATCATGCATATCATGTCGATTTTCTCTTTTATTATAAGTAGTAAATAAAATATATGAGAAAAGTCATGCCTTTTAAGAATATGTATATTAATTCACATATATTCACTCCTTAATTCTAATTATAATAATATAAAGATTATTATCACGATTTCCGTGTGATTTTCACGATGGATGGCTTTGATGCAGTAGCTTTCGTACAAATGCATTTTACACTTTTCTTTGACGTATTGTTTGTTGCTGAAATTAAATATAAGATGCAGATTATTAATTATTGTTAAAGTCTGGGAAAAATAATAATTTATGAAATATACGATTAGTTAACTCTAAATTAGTTCTATGAATGAGAAAAACACTTATAAAAAAATTAAACAGACACCAATCTAGATATCATTTTGTTCAAAGAAAAGTTTATTATTTATTATTTTAAATAAGAGGGAGATAATTCGGAGTTAAAATGAATAAAACTCGTTTTGAGCAAGCTAAATAAAATAAAAATTTGGCGACGTCTAAAAGACACTAGATGCTTACGATCTTTCGATTGCGATCTTTCAAATCGCGGTTCTATCTTGATTATACTGCCAATGCTTTCCCTTGATGACGTGAAAACACTCATATGACTAGTGCACTTCAGGGCCTGTTCAGTAGAACCTGCGGAACTGCCACATGAACTAATGGGCGATCTAATCGACGGAGAGAAGGATGGCAACTCAATGTTCTTAGCCATCAGTAATTTCTTGACATATGCTTCAGCTTCTACGTGACGAATCGTGAATTCCGCGATATCTTGAAGAACCAACGCGTTCTGTTCCTGAAGTTCTCGTAATTTCACTTCTCTCTGAGGAATATCTCAAGATAAAATATGTTATCATCATGTAGAATAAAATTATAACTATTACCTGTTGTAAAAGCACAATGTCGTCTTTTTTGTAAAGATATAGATTTTGTATATCCTTTTGCACCTTACGAAGGCACTTGTCAGCCCTAGATATTTTCTCTCCTTGTTCCGCTACCTGTTTTTCGACACTCGACAAGAATCGTTGTTTATCTTCCCTTTCTTCCTTTGCTTTTTCGATGTCGTTGAGTAGTTGAGAATAATCATTCTGCGTCTTCTATTCAATAAGATTGTATTTTTCTATTTCTAGATTTCTCAAAATCATCCCTATTTATTTAATTCTATTTGCAACATATAAACTCTGTTTTCATATATCTTATTTAAATGCTATTTAAATCTTATTTTATTTTCCTCTGATTTTTTATCGTATCGGATTGTTCTTCATTATATTAAAACGAATATGTAAAATACCTGCAATTCATCAAACAATCGTTGCAGTTGCGACTGCCTCTGGTCTTGCTTCTGTTGCACCTCGCGTAGCTGCTCGTCGAGTCTCCTCTGTTCCGTTTGTTCTGGTCCGTCCTGATCAACCGCGCTTAGACTATCCTTGTACTTGTCATTGCATATGTTCACCACACGCAATGTGTTCTCCATGCTGCGTATTTCCTGTTCGGTTCGTCTAATGGCCTCGTCCAATTTGTCGCCTTGCTCCCGCAATAGGTATCGCTCCTGAGCGCTCTGTATCTTGAGATACGCGGTGCTCATCGGTACTCCGGCCGGAGTGGCACCAGACGCCGCGACACTGGTGTCATATCGCGCCTGCAACTGCCGTATTCTGCTTTTCCTCTCGGCGACGGCGACACGCAGCTCTGAGCACTCATTGTTGGCAATCCTCTTCTGTACGATGAGCGCCTCTTTCTGCGCCGTGATCTCCGCTGCGCGCTCCTTGAGTGCCTGCAAAATGTGAATGAATAGCTGACTCGATCTGATAATTTATTAGTTATTATATCGGATGTTAAATGTGTCTCATCTTGGATTACAGAATTTTCCCTCGTTAAAATAATGGATCCTTTTTAATTCGTCTGAACTGATTATAACAAATCGTAATCGTATTATAAGATAGCTTACCGCTTCGAGATGAAGACGATACTTCTCCAAATTATACACTTTGTCGCTCACGTTCGATGTCATTCGTTCGAGCTGCGATACCCTAAGGCGCATTATGTTTTCCTCCACTTGTCTTTCCTCATTCCGGGATTGCGCGACCTTCAATCGCTTCTCGCCTCCGTCTAATAACAGCAACAGGTCTTGCTTTTTGCTTCTCAGTCGCTCGATTTCATCATTTTCGTTCGTCAAGCAGTTAGATATCATCCTCATGTCGTGCTAAAAGAATATTTAAGACTCCTAGATACTCAATGTCCATCTTTATAATATCAGAAGCGAGAAAATGCATCTCATTTAACTGAATCTTTTTCAATCATACTTTGATCATATTTTTTTAAATGTACTGCTTGATTAACTCAATTTTTTTTCACGTTATAAATTATGGAAAGAAGTACGATAACCACCTCCAAAGTCGTGATTTGGCTTTGCAGCAGTTTAGATGTGGCTGTTTTCTCGCTCAATACAGCTTGCAGCTCTTCGATCCTTTGCTGCTTCTTCTCGGATTCGCTCTTGTCGTGTTCGAAGCCTCTGATTCGCTCGAGCTTCATCTCGCATTTCTCTAGATTAAAATCCGCCTGATAGAGGATTTCCTTTTTGTCATCCAGTAGCTTTTTCTCTTTCGCTAATAACACAGCAAGCAGATCAATCTTCTTGTGTTCACATTGTGTTTGCATTTGCAGAGTTTTCCTTTCATGCTCCAGTTCTGCAATTTTATTCGTAGCGCATAAAATCATGAACTGCAAATGTTTTGATTCTTTGATGATCGTGGCTTTCCGTTTCTCGTTATGCTGAAAGCAATAAATTACCACTCTCGAGGAATTAATTTAATTAAATGTTATTTTGGATTCAATTTTTGCCGGTTCTACATCATTCTAATTAAGCGAATTTACCAAAGAGGTGTACCTCAATCATCTTTTCCAATCGTTTCGTTCTTTCTTCGACGTTCAACTTTTGGTCCTCGATTTCTTGTAATGTCGACGTTAGATCTTCCATCCGCTTCTTGTAATTGTCCATTTTTGTGTGTTTATCGTTGATTTCGATTTTCTTGCGTTTGACGTTGGTCCGAACTTGTTGCACACGGCGTGCTAGATCTGCTACTAACTTTTTCTGATGATAGACCTGTTTCGATGATCCACGATAAACAAACAATTTATTTTATAAAATTACGAAAATAAATCCAAACAATTGGAAGTAGTTAAGCATATTTAAATCACCTCGATGTTATAACTTCCGATTATCTCCGTGACTTTACGTTGTTTGTCTCGGATTGCAGCAAGTTCTTTCTCCGATTGCTTAATCGACTCCTCCAGTTGTCTGTTATTTACAATTTGATCTTTCAAAAACTGTTCTACTTCTCTGAGATTCCTTTTCTTCTCTTTATCGATTTCTTGCAACGCTTCGACTTCCTGCAAACAATTAGTTGTAAGTACAGAATAACCGGAATACATTACAGCAATAAGAAGTATCAATTAAGCTTACATTGATCTTACTTTCAGACAGTTTTGTATGTCGTTGTCTTTTTGCCGCAAAACGTTAACGCTTTGCGTCCATTGATTTATCATCTGCCTGCGCTCTTTTAACGCCTCCATATATAATTTTGCCGTGCGATCTAGGACAATTTCCAACTCTTGCGCCTCGTCGACAGCTTTGATGATGACTTGACGATAAGTTTCGAGTTCTGTACTAAGTTTCTGACGTTGCTGCTCCAATTCCTAAAAATCAAATCTTCTTGTTTCACGCATTGTATAAAGATAATTATTTACCTATTAGTAATATCGGTATAACAACTTCTAAACTTCTATACTTTTTTTATATACCTTATACTTTTGTGTGTCTTGCTTCATGTAACTTTCTATCAGTTGATTATCTTCTTCTTTGCGCGCAAGTGTTTCTTCCCACTTGCGTAGACTGTCCTCATCAAAGTGAACCATCTGCTTAGTTTCAACAAGCTTTTCTCCCATCCTCAGCAGATTCTTTTCCACACTTGATATCCTGTAATTTACTTGTGTCCTTTCTTTTTCAAATTCATGAGTTTCTTGGCGCAATGATGACTCCATATTGACGCTCAAATGATAAAGATGATCCTCTGCCTCCAGCTGAATTGAGTGTTCAGCGAGCAGCTTCTGATTGAACTCGTAACGCAATACGATATCAGCAGCATGTTTTTTGATCATCTTCAATCGCTCCTCTAGGCTCTCTAGTTTTGTGTTCAAGGACATTCTGCATTCTGTCTTTCTAATAACCTGTGATAACATAAAGAATAATTACATTTATATTATAACTCATGATCTTCCTTAATTTTTTAAATAATTTTGAAATAATTTTAAATTAGCTCGTGCAAAATTGAAACTCAAATTAATTCATTGTTGCATAATTGTTTCAAATATCTTTAATTAGTTTCAAACTATCTGTATATATTCAATTATACAAAACGAATATTTTTGAAAAAGAATTTACTTGTTGGTAACAATCACTATATTATTATTTCATATTTTTCTTCTGAGACAAAGATTTGAAACATTAGATTTACTTGGTTTTTTGAATTTCCAAATTGTCTAAAACATCATGAATTATTATCTTTACGCCAGAAATTCTTATTTTACTAAAATCCGCTTTTTTATTGATTAAAGAAAAAGTAGTCAGATAAGAACTCATTAAAAAAAGAGAAATATGAAGACCGATGGTATGTCTTTACTTCTTCTTCCAAACGTTTGTTCTCCTCATTAGCTACAGGAATTCGAAAGCCATCCTGCCAACCCAGTTGATTTAAAATCACGTCTATGTCGGCGGTCGTCATCGCGATATTGTCTCTGTGTTCTAAAATTAATTGTAACAATTCGTAACAATGCCTTGACCGGCAGGATACACGAAACGGAGCAGAGTTTGTATTTCGAAATCGCTATGGTAACCGACAATACTGCCAATGTAATAATCAAAAAATGGTCTCTTTCGTTCCCTACGTCTCGGTGATTCCGACCAATCGAACCGTCGGTTCCCTCTGGTATTATTCACGACCGGGACTGTGATTCCGCTTGTGTTGGCGCACCTCCAGGCGCTCTCCGCCGCGACGTGCGCGACTTCACTTCGATGGCAACAAAGATGGCGGAGCCAGTGCGTGCATCGGGTGTGTGTCTCCGCTGAGGCGCGTTGACGTCCGTGACGAATGTCGTACGACCTGGACGGCGGGCAGCAGCAACAACAGCAGCAGCGGATGCAACCAGTGAACGAACGAGTAAGTGAGTGCAATTGCGATCACGCGATTGTGTGTCGTGTGTCTACGTGCGTGCGTGCGTGCGTGCGTGCGTGCGTGTGAGCGAGGCAAGCGAGCGAGCGAGCGAGCAAACGAGCGAGCGTACGTCCGTCCACGAATAAGCGCGTACCTGCTCACCAGCCTCTGAGTGAACGCGGAGCCGCCGTGTTTCCGAGTCGAGTGCGACGAAATATGTCAGAGGCTCCAGAAGCATGAGCGAGGGAGCGGACTCGGTTGCGCAAACCTGCGGGGATTCGCTCACGACCTTGGCAGACGAAGGCGAACGGGATGCAACGACGAGCGCGACGACGACGCAGCCGTCGCAGCCGCAGCCGCGGCCGCGACCAACAACGGCGACGTACACCGGTAGAAGACCGCGCTGTGGCACTGGTGGTCCACCGCCATCGCCCTACATGTGGATCGACGGCCAGCAGCTGCGGAGCGCCTTGGTCTGGGTCAAGAAACCGTCCGAAGGAAGCGATCCGCCTCGACGAGTCAACTTCCCCTTGAGCGACAATCACCTGGTGACGGGCTATTTGGAGCCTGCTAATCCTTGGCGACACGGTGAGTGTTGTATAGCCGTATATTCTGTTATGGATGTTACCGCGAATACGCTTTAGAGAGATATCCTTTGGAATACTCTGGATTGAAGAGCTCTGATTAGGGATTGGTTGGTCTCTATGATAGATGCAATGGAAGAGTCTTAGAATCCGCAGGAATCATCATTGTGACAGCTCTGTTATTTGGCATAGAATTGTTGGAGGTAATTGGCTCAGTATTGTTGTGAAACTAGAGTATTATTGAGGGTATTATTCATAGTCTATATAGGGACCCATTATTGTTTGAGACAATTGGTTCTGGATTTTTAATTTGTTAAATTAAATATTTTTTAGGGCATATCATGTTATAGGTATTTAATATCAATTTTTGTGTAAAATGACATTGATGTTGAAACTATAATTTTTTATTTGGGAGCAGAGAGAAAAAACCATAATATAGTTGTATTAAAGAAATATTGATAAGGGTTAAATAGTTATCTATGAAAGGTGCATTATTTATTTAATATATTTCTTTATCATTTTTACCTGTCTATTTTTTAATGCAAATATATTTTCTCACTATATACTATTAGGTTTTTTTATAGACTGTCCCAAGTGAAGGATTTCACAATGTTAATCATGTACTAATTATAAGTTTGATGTGTGTATATATTTGATGATATGTATCTGGTACAATATACAATAAAGCTATAACAATTATTTTTTCTCATTTTATAATTACATAAAGTGCAATAAAATCATGGAATTATTGGATTGCTTTTAATTTTCAAACACATACATTTCCTATCTCTTGTATTTTGTATAAAGACATTTTTTTTAACTAACATTGATGATTATCACATCTGTGTATCATATCTATGTATAAGAAATAAAATAATTGTCCCCAGCTGAAAATGTGAGTCGCGAGAATTTAATATTCGCATACAAGGAGTCCTGCGCACGTCACAACACCGAACCCTTGCAAAATGTTTTAGCACAGCTCGAGGTAAATATATCTCTGTTCCTTTGTTACTCCACCCTTCTATATATAATTCTTAATAGTCATTCTTTCTGACATAAAACACAAGCGATATTAAATTCAGGTGTGAGCATGTTGCAACAAAGTAATGATTTCACAAGGACCAATTGTATGTATATGGAAGTATCGAGCTTGTTCACTTGACCAAAACCGGCAGAAATGAAAACGTGAAGTTCATTTTTTACTCTTCCTTTATCACAGCATTTTGGACACGCTACTTGTTCTAGCAATCTAGCGATCTAGCGAGATTTTCTTGCCAGATACATTGGGCCTCAATAGTGCATGGACATAGCTCTGCTGCTTTCAAGACGGCATTTTACAAGTTTCCCTCAAACTTCAATATCCAGCCAATTTCACAGGGGGGAAAGTTTCATTTTATTTCTGTATACTTTCGTTCTTGTTACATAGAATCTGGATATATCTCACGATCGTTGTGAAGAGCTGAACTTGGAAGGGGAAACCTTGGATCAGGATCATTGTGAGCCATTGGAGGAGATACTGAAGAGAGTACAATTTAACAGAATTAATGTAGAAGGGACATCTTTAAGCGACGAGGTACTTTTTTGAAAATTACATCTAATTATGGGATATTTCTTGCGGATTAATATTGAATATGACTTAATATATAACTCGTATACTAATAAATAGTTATTATTATAGAGCTCCATAATATTATTTGATATGCTGGAATATTATGAATCTGCAAAACACTTAAATATCTCGTCTAATCCAAACATCGGGCCACGCGGCTGGCAAGCGTGTTCGTATATGATTAAGAAGGTACTTATGCATTCACTTTTAAAGAAGAAAACCTACATAAAAGTGCCTTTTGTCATACGTCGATATTAGCTTATTTTTATTTTTGCTTGTACACGTATAATCTATTTAAATACTGTCTAGTATATGTAGAATAGAGAGTATTATATTGTTAAAAGCAAATCGCTAAGAGTATAATTAACGCAATCTCATTTGTTTAGACTCAGTGTTTAGAACAGCTCGAAGCGAGGGATATAACGCTTAACGAACAATACATGAACATTTTGAACCGTGCATTGCGATTAGTCTGTCATCTGCATGTCCTTAAATTGGAAAATTGTGAACTGTCGGGCAGAGCAATCGTCATACTTGGTATTTATTATATAACAATTTTTATGCATTTAGAATATTGTATTACAATTATATCAATAACTGGTGCCTTCTTAGTGACTTATTAATTATAATATTTGTTGGCATTTAGAATTTAATAGAATAAAGAATAAAATAATTATACATTGAAATGTTAATGTTACTGACATTAAGACTACAAAGGCGTAGGTTTTTTTTTTTTTTTTTTATCAAGATTTACATGGATTATGATTATTCACATTTATACAATTATCTTCGTTTCATATAATAATCTATATATTCTCGTTTTCGTAACAGTTACAGCTCTAAAAATGAATAGCGGTATACGGGAACTATATTTAGCCGATAATGGGCTCGACTTATATGACGCTATACAACTTGGATCTCTCTTAAGAATGAACAATCACCTGCAACTGCTCGATATCAGGTACATATTATTTGATAATTATAAATGAGTGTATAAATTAGAGTGTTTTTCTTTTGTATTTTTCGATTTATTCCGCTTGATCAGAGATATTTACGTAAAGTTCCAAGTTCCTTTCTGAAAATTGGTAAAAATTATGATAAGATTAGATTAGACGCATAATCGGATTGATTTTCATGCGCAGGTTGTATATTGCGTTAACATTTACTTCATATTCGCGTGAGGCATGCATTGTGTTTAAGCGAGTTACAATATTAGGACAGATTTGTTCTTGGAAATGTTTTTTCCTTAGTAATAATAACGTCCAAGACGACGGTGTACGGGATATATTGGAGGGTCTGATTAATCAAGTAAACGAGGACAAAACCGGCAAGGGACTTAGTATTCTGATACTCTGGAATAATCGTTTAACCAAGAAATCGTCACCTTACTTTTCAAGAATTATAGTATGTATTACGAATTTCTTGTCGTTATCCATATCGTTCTTCTATCATAGAATCTATGATATTCTTAGCCATTCTTCCGATTTATATAAGTTTGTAAATTATTTCGATGGGATATTCTCTTCACTAATAGATTTTACTTTAACACACTTATATACTAAAATTATTAAAACTCTTTATTTATTTTAATTTTATTTTTAATCTTAATTAATTTATATACTTCTATTAATAAATTAATTTTTATATTTCTATTATATATATGTGTGTGTGTGTGTGTTAGTATTAATAAAAATATACACAATTAACACGGTCGAGAGATGATAACAATGATAATATTTAGAAGAATTAAGACACAGAAACATAGTGTGCGAAAGAAAGGAGATCTCGAACTATCTTAAACCCGCAACGATTAAAAGAGAGAATATAAGTAAAGAAATAAAAGATATGCTATTTGTAGCGTAACGCGTTTGCTGCTCTATCACGTCCACAATAATTGTGTTCAGGCATTATCGAAAACATTGGAGACTCTGAATATTGGTCAAAACATGCTGACGGACGAGGTATTGAGCATCATTAACGAATCGTTGAAGAATAACCGTGTCCTCCTGCAATTGGGCATGCAATCGACGGAACTCACGTGCGATGGAATAATCACGCTCGCTGAAATAATGGAGACGAATCAAGTCTTGCAGGTAAGGTTTCACTCGCTATATTTACAACGTATTTCTACCGTGTCTCATATGTCTTATATGCCTCTCGCTCGCAGAGAATAGATTTACGGGACAACAGCATACGGATGCGCGGGATGCAAGCTCTGGTTAATGTGATGAAAAGGAATAAGAGCATCACGCAGATCGATCTGGATGACAAACCACGGATAAGAATAGTAAGTACCGCCGTTTATCACGTGCGATAAGCTTCACTAGGTTTACTAATATGCGCTCTCGAGTTAAGGGAGTATTCACAGTCCAATGTTACATTTGAGATTATTTCAAGTTTATCTTGAAACGGATCTTACCGGATCTGAAGATGAACTTAGATCGTATTTTGAATATCAGTCTTAGAACGTTCTCGATTATTCATAGTCTGATTTTATTTTCAACTTCGTCTCGAGTTCATCTTCGAGCGCTGTATGAATCGGTCTCATTGGCTACAGGGCATCTGAAGATAAACTTAAGACGGTCTTAAATATAAGACCGGATTATGAATACCAACTGTAGAAATCTACGTGACAAGAGCGCGACCTAATCGATTCATTCCTACCGGAACGAAGGACTGCGCCTTGCATCAGTACATAGACCTGGTGGCGGAGATACGCAAGTGCTGCGGTCAAAACGTGGAGCACCGCCTGCTGGAAGGGTCCACCGAGGATGCCGAGAGCCTGCCGCACCCGAGCCGGCTGCTGAACGCGAGCTCCCGTAAGATCTCGCTTACCTGTCAGACACTGCCATGCCCATCGCGACCGGCGGCGTCGTTGGTCGCTGCCGATGAAACGGTGACACGCAGCATGCTGGAGCCGAAGCGCACTAGCGGAGGTCGCCTGCGTTCCCCGGCCCCCAGTCCCATCCCCTCCCCCATAGCCAGTCCGATCCCCAGTCCGTCCCGTAATCGCTTCGTCGTATGTCGGGTGCCAGAGGCGTCGCTGTGCTCCACCGACTCCTCGACGTCTTCCTCGCCGGTCACCCCACCGTCGCTCGGCTCCTCTCCCACGTGTTTCTTCACCGGCGGGAGCTCTGGCTCATCGCGGTTCCGCGTGTCGGTAGTCGAGCCGGTGAGCGCCGGTCACTCGTCGTCGCCCAGGTCGGTCGTCACCTCTGCCAGCGGCAACGTCACGATCGGCTTTAACTTCAAGGTGTCGGCCGACTCCGGCGATTCCGACGTCGCGTCTAAAAGCGACGTAAAGACGCAGGACGTCGACGGGAATAACACGTCCGTAGGTACACTTAATAACGTAGTCTCAGTGGCGAAAGAGACATCCGCGTCTTGTGAGAGCATTGCCAAGCATGAGGAACGTCGCTATGCGGAGAAGAACTATGTGGAGATGGCGGTCGAATTGCGCGAACGCGTCGCTGAGACACACTCTAGAGCGGACGAGAATGTTACGTCGTATGAGCATAGACGAAACGATAAGGCGGCGAAGTTCGTAGAAGAAGCGCAATTAATGCGGGGCAACGTTGAGATGGAGTCCGGGAGAGCGTCCGAAGGCGTCACTGCGACACGCGAAGATTCTCGCAACGAGATGGCGAGTCGGGGCGACGTTGGAATGGATCTCAAAGTCGTCACGACGGTCTCCGGAGAGATTATCGAGACTACCGGAGACCGTCGTATCATGTATACGAGTACAAAAGAGCTACAGGTACCTGCATATCCGAGCGAAGATACTGCTTCGGCGAGGATTAGCGTAGACGAGGATAGTAGAGTCTTGAGTAGCGCGACGAACTTGTCCGTGGGTGACACTGCGACGGGGTCGCTAGCGAAGCCGGCTTCGGAAGCGTTCTCTGGCGGGACTTTGGAATCTTCCGAGAATGTCACCTCGGGAACGCCCCCCTCGATTTGCACGACCGACTCGCAACCGCAGGAACGGGCGAGTACGTCGGTGCAGAAACACAAGTCCAGCTTGGAGAAGCTTTTGTCGTTGTTCCAGTATCCCAGTAGCCTCTTCTCGGACTCGTCGAGTGCTGCTGTGGACACGAGGACCTCCTTACAGGAGAACGTAAGCGGTGTGATGGCGTTGGGCGACAAATTGCAGCAGTACCTGAAAGAAGGCCGAGCCAAAGTTAGTACAGATAGCTCGTCGTGGTCCTCGGAGCACGGGTCTCCGTCGAGGAATAGATCAGTAAGATTAAATGTACCGCAGCTGCAGAGTCTGACCGGCATATTCACGTCTTTCAAGCTAGACTCTCACGCGAGCCTCGTCGAGCACAGCGCGAGGTTCTTCGGTCAGGCGAAGAGTCAAGCCGCGAATATTAACGAAAGGGACGCAGAGAAAGCGGCGGAAGTCGAGGTCGTGGGGAACGATGAGAAGAATTTTATTAGCCAGGAGAAGAATCAGGCTGCTAGGAAGGATGAGAGAAATTTCGTCGTGCAAGAAAGTGGTGAAATTACGAGAAACGACGAGAATACCTTCTCCGATGGGGATAAGAATCATGCTGTGAGAAACGACGAGAAGAGTTACGAGCCGGGCCCACGAACGTCGTTCAGTAACGAGAAGGACTCGATGGATCAGGAGAAGAATCAGGTTGCGAGGGAAGACGAGCAGGACTTGTTTAGTTTGAACGGGAGTCAGGTTACGAGAAACGATGAAAGTAATTCGGCCGATCAAGAGAGGAATCAAATTACGAGGAATGCCGAGAGTAATTTATTCGATCAGGAGCGGAATCGGATTACGAGGGACGACGATGTGGATTTATTTGGTCAGGAGAAGAGTCAAGTTGCGAGGGACGACCAGCAGAAGCCACTCGATCGGGTTACGAGAGACGACGGGGAGAATGCGGTAAATCTGGAGAAGAACGCAGTCTCAGGTGACGAGAATAATTCGTTCGATCAGGTGAAAGATCAGGTTTCGCGAGCCGATAAAAAGGGCTCGGTAGAGCCGCAGGAAAACCGGGCTGTTGGCAACGTAGAAGAGGACTCCAAACTACAAGAGAAGAATCAGATTGTTCAATACGGTGGGGACAAGGTCGCGAGTAACGATGAGCGCAACTTGAAAGATCGCGAAGAGCTGACTGTGAGTAAGAACGAGGAACCGACTGATCGGGAGAGACACGAAGTTGCGAGTAGCGATGATGGAGATTCCACGGAGCCGCGAGCTGCCCGTGTGAACGACCAGGAGGACTCGTGCAGCATGCGTGAACTACAATGGGCCGAATTCGACCGGGATGATCGACCGTTACCTGAAAGCGTGCAATCAAAGGACGATTTTGCCGACAAAGATTTAGTATTAGAGAGCGGGTGTGTCGCGACGACAAGTACGACAGCATCGTCGTCCCCGATGTCGTCATTGTCATCGTCATCGTTATTCTCATCGTTGCCGGCGTCGGCGAGCAAATTCACCGCGTGCGTAGCTATAAAGTTAACGGACATACCTGAATACTCTGTTTTAGAATTAAGTGAGGCCGACGGTGTGAGGAGCGACGGTGCGAAGCGTTTCGAACGTGACGACGACGAAGGTCGACGAGAGCTCGACGACGACACGCAGGATTTAGAGTGCGTAGAGCGTGACGATGCCGAGGAGCGTCCTGATTCGGCATGTGTGGACTCTCAGCGAGATATAGAGCGCGACGGAGAAGCGGCTCCCGAGAGTAACGACGTAAAGTGCTTAGTACGTGACGGCGACGCGGCTGAAGGAGCGTGCGCCGCGACGGAACCGAGGACATGTGATACAACCACGACGGACAGTATTAATCAGACTAGTGATAGTAGTTTTCCGATCTGTAACATAGCGCGCGATAGGAAAGTCGTAGATAGCTTAAAAGCCGCGAGCGCACTGAAGACGAGCGCCGCAGCGGACGACGACGTCGGCGGGACGACGTCCACACCGAGAGGCGACAATGACAACGGCACGACCTCGTCGACGTCGTTGAGAGACGTCGACGCGAGCGATTTCGACTTAAACGATCAAGTTACCAGTGGCACGCGTCTTGTCGCCGATGAAGATCATCGGTGCGATTTCACGGGTAAAGAAGAGGAGGAGAACGAGCAGGAGCAACAGCAGGATCCCGCGGAGCTCCTCAATGATGCTTGCCGTGACTCCGCTCATTGCAGAAGTACAAGTGTAAATATTAAAGTAGAGCCGTGTGTGTCGGCGGCGACGACGACGACGACGACGACGACGACGACGACGACGATGATAACGTCGTCGTTGCCGTCAACGAGTCCCATTGCGGTGAGCCAGCAGATGCCGGAGGCGCCTTCGTCGGAGAGGCTCCGCGAGCGACAGTTGTCCATGCCAAATAACGTCGACGTACATCGAAGTATCCTTAAGAACGTGGTCGAAGCAGATAATTCATCAGAGAGCGCTGTGGACGAGAGCGACGCCGACCGACAACGGAATGACCCGACCATTCTCGTTACACCGTACGAGGATGCGTCCGCGAACCTGGACAAGTCCGATGCGGACGAGCTAATCTTCTGTATGACCGACATCTCCACTGACGGCACGTCCGTGGAGGACGAGTTGTCGCCGGGCGTGGTGTCCAGGTGTTCTCCGAACGACGTCGCCAAGGTGACCGACTTGTACTTTGAGCTGCCAATAGCTACGACCACGACCACGTTGCTGATCGGGCATCCCGAGGGCGTGCATAGGAACAGCCAGGACTCGGGCATCGACGAGACTGCTATGACGATCGACGAGTCCGTCGCGATGGACGCTCATCCGCTGCCGGTGACGCGCGGCAGTCTTCAAGAGAGTGTGGACTCTGGGATCGAGTCGGAGTGCTCGTCGATATGCATCAGAGTGGACTCCGCTGCCGAGCGGACGCTGGAGGTGGTGACCTCCAAGAGACCATCACGCAACGATAATGGTGGCCGTGAGCGAGAGGACGGCGGTATGGGCGACGACGAGGACGACGACGGCGGCGGCGGCGGCGGCGGCGGTGGCGGTGGTGGCGGTGGCGACGGCGACGGCGACGGCGGTGGCGATGACGAGGAGGACGGTGACGACGGGGATGTCAACTTCGGAGAGTTCGCATCGGATTTCCTTGCGAAGGAGGCGCGACTAGTAGATAACGATAGCGTGAGCGGCATCGCGTGCTCGTACCTCAACAGCATCAAGTGCGCAGTCGTCAGCGCGACGCGGCCCGTCGCCGGGATGGCGAGCAGCGGTGTACTAGGAGTCGTAGTCGCCGACGATGGCGTCGCCCGGCCGTCGGCAGCCCCGGTGATCGCGCACTCGCCCGCAGCTGTGCACGGCACCAGGTGAGTACACTGTGCGACCGGGTGCCTCTTCTTCTTCTGCTTCTGCTTCTTCTTCCGCCTCTTCTTCGGCTTGGGAATCTCCTATAAACGATCCTAAAATGCGTTTTCATACGACTCTGGCTCGCGTTGGCTAGTTCGTGCCTGGAATCCTCTGTTGCTACAATCTGCACTTGTGCTTCTTATTGTTTCGTTTTTGCTAGAGTTCAACTTGTACGCAATTGGTGTCTGTCAGCTTTCCTATTGTCACTGTCGCTGGGAACATGCAGTTTCGAGGAAGAAAGCATGGACATGGTAACGAGCTTGTACTTTTTGCTTATTATGCAAAACGACGACGACGATGATGAGGTATTAATTGCCACGTTGCAAGCGGTGCTACATTAATTATCTCTCCAATTTCTACAGAAATGGTATCTGCAGAGAGGGTTCACGTTCTGTTGCTGAACATTCCTGCAGAGCTCTCTCAACGTAGCGTTCGCTTTGTTGTCGATTTCTTTGTATGGTTCTTCCTCATTTAATTAAACGTCAACCTCTCCTCTTCTCGACGAGCACAATAACGTCTCTGCCTTATTAATAAGTTGAATGTCCTACTTGTGCCTTTGCGCTTGAAATTGAATTCACGGTGGGCGAAGCTCTCTCGTTGTTCTTTTCATGTTCATTAACGATTTCTATTTACAAAGCTCTGAAGTATATTTCAACTTCCTTTAAAGGAAGTTGACCGATCAAATTACGACTTCGTTTCCTTCGTCACCTTGCTTATTATTTAATTCAACTGTATTGTAACTACATATACTCTCAGAAAGTTTTGAGCAGCTTTGTCCGTAGAGAGAATGCTAAGTGCACAGCTCATTCGTGTGCACGAGTGTCGGTTTGTAGAGCAAGGACGATACATTTTGTTCTTACAGCCCGAAATAATGCTGCGGAGAAGGAAGAGGAGAATAGAAGCGAGAAAGGGAACGAGATCGACAACGTGATCGAGTACGACGACGAGGATGATGACGAAATCGATGAATTCGAAGAAGTCATGAAGCAGCTCGAGCCAAAGTATCGGCGCTATGCCAACTGGCGGATCTGAATGCTGTTTGAAACTGTCTATCGTTATTTTCGGTGGTCGTCGGCACAAAATGGACGTATGTTTGGCTCCAAGGACCATTGATTCCATAGACACTTAATATTCTACTGCCCTTTATAGCCCTGTGAATTCGTGATGCCTATGGCTCTTTGATATTCTGAACTCGTCGTCGCGTGGATTCATCAGCGCGACGATTTCCGACTCCACAATTGTTTTGATAAATCTCCTCATTCGTATAATTAATTTCTAAAGGCCCACGTTGTATAATATTAATTTGTATATTATTATATAAATTGCGTAAATATTATCAATGTTGAATTCTTGACAGAAGTTTGATATACAACAGACTCTTCTTTCAATTCGTCTTTGAGGACAAACGTACGAACGTACTGTTATTCTCGTTCGCACCGATCTCTCGCATTATGAATCTCTGACAAAAATTTCAAAGATTTAAAACCCAATGGTACTGTGGTATCACGAATTCCCTCCAGACTATGATAGATCACACATGTCACTGCGATTTCTTATTAGATTACGATAATACCTTTGATATCATCACCTTAATTTTCGGGTTTTCATTACATAGACTTCTCACTGTTGTAGATTCTTAGATCTATAAAATCCCGTTTTTTGCGGATCCATATTCCTTCCTTGGTCCTTGGAGCCTCTGCGTGGGGCAGGCACATTAAAGAATGTCAGCGCGAATTGTTGACGACCCCGTGCTAGACGAAATGCTAGACGTGTGTGCGAGCGTTGTAAACTTAATTTTTAACTGTAATAGGTGTCAATAATGTCTTACGTATTAGTTAGTTTGTCGGCCATTTTATATTTCGCGGGGAGGGAGGAACAAACGTCGGAAAGCAGGGAGAGATTATTGAGTGTGTACAGTAGACGATCGATTCTAGTCTCGAAGACAGTCGATCTGTCGGAAAATTATAAACTTAACGCGCATCACTGTCTCTCGCCACGCGATGTGACACGCTGGCGGTGATCAATGTGCAACATGCCAGTGCTTCTTAAACTTACAGATCACGGGAGACCAAAGGATAGAATCTTTTCTTTTTCGTGCGGAGCATCCGTGAAAAGGTGCTCTCTAAAAGAGAGAACGGCAGGCAAGCAAAGGTTACAAAAAGTTCGGGTGTTCCATCGACAATTGTTGAGGATGTCTTTTCGATCAGGCGCTTGAAAGCTAAACCGAGAGAAGTAGAGTGATGGTCGTTTGAGCGCTGACGTATCACGATAGGTAATTAATAGAGATATCAAAAATAGGTAATTTTCTCAATAACGAACTACCCCCTACAATCCATAAATCAAAGAATCCGTAACCGAGAGGGCATCTGGGCTAACACCCTATATGTAAAAGATAGATAATGTAAAGTTTTACGGTTAACGTTAAACGCTACGAAGGGTCCGCTGATCAAACAAATCAAAACTACGGGAGAATCTACGGAACCAGTTCTGATCGCTTATATATGATCACATATTACGATATCGCTCTGCATTTGGCCGGGATCTGATTGACTCCGTGGGCTTTTACCATTTTCCCGATTTTTACAGTTAACATTTTACGGTCGAACCTTATTTTTGTTGGTTGAACAACAACAAGACATAGACAATGTAACGGAGGAGACGAATATTTGTCGCGATTATCTTAACTAACTAACGTAGAGTTCTTAGTTGTATCCCCAGATCTTTGTGGAAAACAGTTTAAGGAACACTGACCTAAAGAACGTGGCGATTACCTTAAACGAAACACTTTAACGAATTAATACTTAAATGTATACATCACTATTAACTGCAACTGAAAAAACTTCCTGAATGCCTTGCATATACAGTATGTTGTAGAAAATGTGAGAATCAGTAATAGGTTTTATTCTTACAGAGGAACTTGACGTTTCTTTTATATGAAATATGAAGATGAAATATTTAGCCTAAAATTGTGCTGGCACTTGATATTGAAGGTTAAAGTATGCAGCTAGTCAAGTTTTAAGAGCATAAATAAATACAAAAGCATTAGTTGTTAATTAATATTGTAAATAAAATTTTGTTTTAACGAAATTTTAATTGGAAGGATGTGACCAAAGGTCGAAGGGATAATTGGTATTGAAAATTGAAAGTCAACTCGAAAAGGGAGAAGCAAGATTGGAAGTTTTGTTAAAAGAACATCGAGCTTCTAAGTTTAATTAAAAATAACGTTCCTATCACTGGTTATCATATTCTTCGAGATGTCCTGTATATTTACATATATTTGTGGGTACGCATGCGTGTATGTGTCTCTGCGTGTGTGGAACGTGTGTGTTGTACGGATGTACGGAGAACACGATCGGGAAATACTCGCGATTACAAAGTGATCATGTTTTACATCACAGACAGTAAGTTTCGAAGACGACTCGAATCTGTGGAAGATACTAAACGCATCATACAAGATATAATGGCATAATAATATAATATATATAATGCAATGAAAATTAATCTGTAGCTTCGATTCTCTGTGAGGACGAAATTCTTATTACGAGATATGTACACTCATATTTTAATATATATCACAAGTAGATCTTTTATATATATATGTATATATATTTACATAAATATATATTTATATAAATATATATATATATATATATGTATATATTTATGTAAGTAACATATTTTGTACCTTTTAGGATTAAGATTTTGTTAGAGAGAATTAATTTATATCGTGTTTTATTTATTTGACACGCAGAATTTTCGGATATTGCGGCAACTTTTATCGGGCAATGGTGTCCTGCGAGATAAACATATATATGTGTTATTTCAAAACAGATTCGAGTTCCGACGAAATTATTGTCAGAGTTATCGCGCTTAGGTAGTTCGCAATTTCTTGAAAAATCGACAGTAATGTGTGTGTCGAGATCTATTATTATATCTTAAATTATATCTCTCGTTTGTCGTTATTTACTTACAAATCTCGTTAAAAATGTAAATATATATAGATACATAGATACATATATATATAAATATATTATAATATACATATATATATATATATATATATATATGTATATGTATATGTATATATAAATATATATATTTGCCACGTTGCTAGTGGCTAATGTTACGTAGAACAAGATCGTCACATTTGCGACGACGACAAACTATAAACATTCTTATACCTGTCTTGCGCTGAGCAATAATTGCACGTGCAATTACGGTATTTCTACTCTACACTCTTGCAATCTGTTGAGCAGTGAAATGCAAGCGCAAATTTTTATAACATTATACTGACAATAAGCAATGGGAGTATTTGCTTTTTTTTTTTTTTTGGAATTTTTCTACACGTTTGACCAAGTGAAAAGTGGCGCGTCAAGTAAGGAAACATGAAATAATCAATCAAAGCATTCACCCGTAGATTTTTTACCGATGTTCTCATCTTCGCGTTCAAAATGATACTTTGAGTCGCTGATATTTGGCTGATTAATACCGATAAAATATGAGTTTGAGGAAAAGCTGAAAATTTATCGAGATATTGCGCGTGCAATTAGAGCGTGTTCCATTTTGCAACATGTAATAATTTCCGTGTTAAAGCTCTGTCTCGCCATAATTTCACGAGGTTGCAGTTGCACGCGCATTTATTTCCCAGTGAAACGCGGATATTAGATTCTAGGCTTTACCGCTCCAAAGTCGTGATCGAAAACGATCACGAATGTTACAACTCAAACCGAACTTGTACAAATCGTATAAATGTTAATCGTACAAAGTGAAAGGATGATCTTTTTAGCCCTTTCGTTCCCAAAACACTTATCGACGTTAGACGAAATTTTTTCAAGCTTGCAAGATTTTTGTATATGACAATTTCTTTATTTAAGTGTACTTTTTAATATAATGCGATTATACGTCCCGGGAAAGAAAGGGTCGAGATTTAGATTTCTTCCACTCTCACGTTTACAATGTGAATCTCTCTCGTCGACTCTGTGACAAGTTTGACAAGTTTGATCCGTTGACGAAACGAGCAATCATTTCTCGCTGAAACAAACTTTAATGTAATTCTAAAGTAAACATTATTTCGTAAATGCAGATACGAGATTGAATAAGCGACATGTGCCGAGCTCACATCGTTCGGTGCTTATAGCGCGACGAGAATATATATTCGGAAGAAATGAACTGATCGATATTCTGCATCGACGGACTTTCAGTGACATACTTTTATAACTCACAATTACGTCTGCGATCACACGAAAGAAACATAATAATGTAATGTTTCATCCTATTCGGTAAACCAGTTGATTCGACCGATACAAGTGAAATCTTTTCTTACGACTTTTGAGCTGTTTTTTCTGTGTGTAAATCTGTTATCTCTAGGTATCAGAATCTACTTAAGATAGATTCTTTTTTTAGACCGGTGATCGTGCGCGAGAGAGAAAGAATATCTTATTGTTATATACACACATACATACACACGTGTGTATATATATATATATATATATGTGCGTGTATGTATGTGTGTGTATATATATAATAAAACGTGAAAGAAGGAAAACCGTTCGAGGAGAGCTCTGGGAACAATAATGAAGGTTGGTCTGTTAAATTGCTCGGGATATACACATGTGTGTGCACGTGCGTGCGAGAATGATATCGCGTGGACGTGTGTGTGATAGATTAAATGTGTAAATAACTATTGCGGAATGGCACGTTCTAAAAACGTCCAAGCGTAGGAATAGCATATGAAAGAGAAATCTATGTATATGAGAGATAAATTGAGTTTGAGAAATTTTACCGAATCGACGTACGAGAGAATAAAGATGATTTAATTATAATCAGCTGGTGTGTGATCTTCACTCTACTCTCAACGTCCCACATCCATTCGCGTTACCTTACTCTTACTTTTATCGCAGTTGTGTATACATTTTATTTCGGTATCTCTATCTATGGACCGTAGTACAATTTTAGAAAAGAGAGAGCTTCGATTTTACATACGTTTATTAAAGCTTCCGCAATACAATTCATTAATCATCGTTTGCACAACCTTATGTTTCTTCGCGCGGCGCAGATCGAAAGGAAAACCATGCCTTCGTGTCGCAAGTCCGACAATATATATATATATATATATGTATGTATATATATATATATATATATATATATGTATGTATGTACGCCGCGTATTTTTTATTTCTTTCTACTTTTTTTAAATTTCATTTTTATCGTTTCACAACCTTTACATACTTCCTCGTTACGAAACGCCACGTCCTCGATCACAATGCTGCGCACAATGCTGTTGCCCGATTTCTTTTCTTCTTTTCTCTTTTATCATGCGATACAATGCCGGCATTGGAAGATTATCGCTCTCTGCCATCGACGACGCGATGTAATATAATTATATATAAAATAGAATATTTCGGAAATAACGCTCAGATCTGTACAACCGAGAAATTATACATTCACTGTCTCGTATTTATACTTATACATACTCGCGTATATATAATATAATGTATTTGATATATCTCTCTATATGCACGTAAATCTATGTAAAATGTACATGTACTGTGTCAATTCTGTGTACTTAGTACTTTATACGTTTATACACGGCACCACGCGGATGAGTATTTTAGGATAACGCGATTGGTCGTGCGAAAATAAGGATCATGATCCTCGTTATCCGACGTTATGCGGATAATATATCGATATTACGTATTAATCCTTTGCCTCCCAATGCGTCTCTTCCACCCGGTGCGGCTTCTCAGAATTTACACGCATCTACGCGAACGAAGCTCCACGACATTCCTCTTCGAGGAACATTGAGCCTCGTCATGTAACTTCGAAGGATCCGTGGATGAGACTGAGAGTAGGATTATTGCACATTTGGGATCTATAGATCACTGGAATTCCACGGATGAAATTTTGCGCGTAGGACGAAGCAAAGCATCGGTGGATTGGTGGAAGCTCGACTTCCAACTCCATGCGGATGCTCCATGCTGCAGGTATTTATTTTTTATTTTAGTTTCACAGATATTTCTTCGTATATAGATAAAGCAGGTTGTTTTAACAAATCTCGAAATCCATAAACTCGGGTTCTTTCTTGAGATTTGTATATTCATGAATGGCTCATCTTCATAGAGCTTAATTTTGTGACATTGTGAATTTCACAGAAATTTCTGAATTTGACATGGATTCTCGCCATTTATGTTAATGCCTCGTGGACCTTTACGATTTAATGAAAATCCCGTGATTCTCCTCGGATCTGTAGATCGTATACATTATTGCAAAGAAGCAAAGAGAGAGAGAGAGAGAGAGAGAGAGAGAGAGAGAGAGAGAGAAAGAGAGAGAGAGAGAGAGAGAGAGAGGAAGAGAGAGAGAGAGAGAGAGAAATAGAAATAGAGAGGAACCGCGATAAACAGGTAAGATTTGCGCAAGTATCTGACTGCGAGATAACAAAAGTTCCGTTTGTATTGCACGCAATGACGAGACTTATGTGACAAGAAAAAGCTCTGAGATTCAACAGATTAGTCGCGTCGTATCGTCGATGTGTCTTTGTGTCTGTATATGTGTGTCTGCTTAATAATTAATCAACGAATAGCATTTTCTTTTCTGGTCGAGGAGCACTCGTGCATTATTCCTCCAGCTGGTCAGACGGCAAATATATGCACACGCCTCGTTTACATGATATACAACAAGAAAACGCACATAAAGAGGCCTTATACTTTCATCCCCGCTACACGAAAACGTTTTACGTTTTATTCTAGTGGTGAACAGAGCGCGAGAATAGGTAACGGGGGGAACAATATGCATTCCTCTTACTCGAGATCCCCTAGGAGTTTTGAGAACTCCGCTCTGTTCTCAATTATCTCGTGGCTTCCTATGCAAAACAATACTGTCTCCACGTTACACCATTTTCGTACCTCTTACAATGATTACTAAGCACGTCGATGTCAATATGATTACAACATTCACACATTACACTGTTTTGATTAATAAATAGCCGTATTCTTTCACTCCGAAAAGGAAAAAAAGAAAGAACCGCCTCGTGCGAAGCTGAGCTGTGAGGCGTTTAGTCTGTCGAGCGTAAAGGTGTACCTTCCGACCGACTAACGTGAGCCAGACGCCAGTTTTACAAAAGTTTGCGAAGTTTGCAACTCGCAAAAGTTCGCGACTTCCGCGTGTATGTACACATCCCTTCGTCGAGAATACGAACATTTGCCGTCTTCCACGCGTTTACCCGTTTACGATAAATAATATATAATTAATCATAGAGGGACGATCCCTTTCGCTCGCCCTAATCGATTTTGGCATAGGAACCTTGTTAACGCATCGTCAAGCTCCGTCTTCTCTAATCAACAATTCTAATACTGCTCGTTCAATTGGTACGAATCACACGTATATTCGGCTTCACACTTCCACCTGGAATAGCCACGAATGTTCCATGACGCGAAACCACGCCTCGCAAAAATGCTTCTACAAAAATGTATAAAGTACGAATTAATACATAATTACAGATTGTATATATACAAACGTACAGTCTCGTCATGGAATGGTACGACACAATATATTATATATATATATATTTAGATTAAATAATTTTTCACGATCGCTCCTCTCGTATAACGTCTATTGTACATTAAAACTCTAATAAAAAAAGAAAAAATAAAAACAATATTTACTCAATTCGCAAATCCACGATGCGAGATCCTCGGATCCGCGAATCGTTGTGCTCGCATACGGAATGTTATTCGGATCCGTAAGATCTCCTTCGTGAATTTTTATATATTTTTAGGTATCTTTGACTCTACCATGACCTGGTCACGATTCCGTCGTTGATATTGAATCACAAAGATCTTCGGATTGACGGATCCGATCCTCATAAGATAACTCTGCGAAATGTTCGAATGAAGAGATTAACTACTCGAAACGGCTGCGTTTTATAAAGTCAACATCGCCTCGCAGAATCGACGCCTGTGTCGCCAATTGGTACGCGCGTGTGACATGAGATCATCAAAGAGAGAAAACAGAGAGAAAACAATTTCCGAAAGGGATGATACAGAATTACGTAAAAAGACATAAGAGATGTTCGAAAGTCGCGTTGATTGCACTGACGGTGAAATATGCGTTTCGTTTTTAAGGTCTACGACGTTATTCTTCTCGAGTTCATTTCGTCCATTATGTGCATCATCACAGTGTCGACACCGTGACAAGTGTCTCTACGTCTTCAAGGGAAGCTTGCCCGTTGAATCGGAACGCTGCTGATCGCCAAGTCCAGCGTGTCTACGTTCTACCGTAACTACGTACTAGGGTTAATTCATAATCAAACGTCGCTGACCCTCGCCGACGTCGTCGTAAACCTGTTCAACGCGACGTCCAATGGACGAGGTGTGGATGAGCTCGAAACCCGCCATGATCGAGATTCCACCGCGACGACACAGACTCAGTTCAACGCGTGGCTGTTTCTACGTCTTAGGAATACTCTGCTATTGACCGGGTAAACTCGGGTCAACAGTATGAGCGAGCTGCCGAGGGCCAGTTTGACGGGTGCCTGGCGGCCGCCCGGAAGTCTGATGAACACCGTGGCGACCGCCGCTACGCCGTCGTCGGTGGGCTCGACGGCAACCGGGCGTACGTCACTGTGGAAGTTGATATATTTGCCACGCCAACCTTTGCGTTGCGGCGAGCTGGGGCTGCACTCGCCGCCGTCTCGGTCGTAGAGTATCGTCGAGGATGCGAACGGCCGTTTCGCCATGTGCAGCATCTCCACGACGTGGCGGCGCCGGGCGCGCCGCACGTCCGCCGCCTGCTTCGTCTTCCACGCGACCACGCACGCCGCCAGGAACAAGAAGAAGCAGGAGAAGAAGCACGAAAAGAAAACGAACAGGTCGATGTGCAGCTGGTCTTGCCGGAAGAAGATCATCCCGTAGGCGGCGCGGCCGTTCAACTCCGGATTCGGCGTGTCGATCGCCCTGAGTGCAATGTGAAACTTGGTCTGACCCAGCTCGTGCTTGTCCTGCGGTAGCGTCAGCACCAACCGATTCGTCAGGTTGCGTATCACCAAGAATGTGTTGCGTCTCTCAATCGTCAGGTAGGTAGCCAGGTTCTCCGCGTAGCGCTCCATCAAGTAGTACTGCTGCCCGGTGTTCCATATAGGTTCCGTAGTGGTGCCGTTCGCAACGCCGAAGCTGCCGTGCGGATGAAACTCGACGACTTGAATTCTGCTGTTGTGCTCTTCTTCAAGCCACGCTTTGCGATTTTCGGGTCGCAATCTAAATCTACTGTCTAGCTCGACCTGTAAGATGCAGGTTTAATCAGCGATATTTCTAGTGTTGAGTGAATAAGAAAATATGAAAGAACTGTGCAAGATCTCAAGAACGCAAAAATATCTTTAAGATACAAAATAGAGTGGCAAAAAATGTAACTATCAAAAAGACAGAAAAATTGACAGTAAAAATTAATTGATATCTTAAAAAGATAAAATAAGAGAAAGTGCTTATTAAAGATAAACCATTATTCGTTAGCTTGATGAAGCAAAAAAAGTTTAAAAACGAAAGAGCGGAAAGATCTTACATCTTGATAACCAGTTGAAGAATTCAGAGTAACGACGAAGGAGTCGTCCCGAGGGCTCAGAAACAGATCTAAGGCGCCTTGAGTAACGTCCACCATGACTCTAATGTCCACGTTCATAAAGCGCGGTTGCACCATGTAGAAGACGGTCTGGCCAGGGTTCAGAGGCTTCGGCTTCGTCTTACATTCGTCTGAAATAAAACAACGATGAGTAGCCGGACTTCACACGCACGACGACGAGAAGACATCGAGTAGCTTGTAGTAGAAGAAAGAGTACGAACCGTAAGATGCTCCACATAAAACAGAACGTTGCAATTTGAAACAACAATTACTTGACCAAAGTGTTTGAGGGCGTGAAAGTATGAAAATACATATTGAGATGAAATCGAAATTCGAGTGGCAACGTGAGTTTGAATCGAGAGATAAGTACAACTGTTGGTACACGATTGATCAATCATTCGTATATCGAGAGATAGAAAGGCATGATAACGCAGAAAACGGTTTAAAAATTGAATTGCCATTATTATAACTATTAATACTGAGTCTGCACAAGACTCGTTAATGAAGATCGTACATCGGACAGTCAGAATTTCATACGATTCTTACTTAAAACATAAAGGTGATTCGTCGTTACACGAAGAAATGATTGTTCTGATGCGAGATCACATCAACCGTTATCTCTTACCTATCAATTTCGAGTCGAAGCACATTTTGTTGTCCACCGTGACGGTCTTGTAACATTGATGGCCCATGGTCGGCGTGCCAGCATAGTTCTCTCTGCACTTGCTGCACTGAACCATCCAGCACGGCATGCCGCCGGTATTCGTGCCTTTCATGGGGCCGCTCACGCAGGACGACTCGCTCTCCGTGTTGTTGCCGCAGTTGCACTTCTCGCCGGTCACAGGATCGCAGGTGAAGCCATGACCGTGGCACTCGCAACTACGGTAGACGGAAAGTACAGTCAGTTTGCATTTAATTATATAGATCAATTAATTTATTGTAGTTTGAGTGCACTCACGGTCGACACACATCTCGAAGATCCTCCGTTCCCCGAAAGTAGCCAGTCATACATTCACCACACTTGTCGCCTTTCGTGTTATTGCCACAGTTGACGCACTTTGCCTTCGCCACTGGCCCTTCCACCAGTTGTTTCTTCAATAGCTCTATCGACATTTTGTCCACCGAATTTGGATCCTGTGTCAGAAGATATATGTCATTAATATATAAAATCGAGTAACCTGGTACTATAAGGACAGTTTGGAACTTGACACAACACATGCAGACGATAACACAATAGAAACAAAATAGAATCCTAGAAAGCTGCATTTTTATAATAAAATATGCAAATAGTATAAAAAATAGAGTAGAAAAACAGGATCTATGATAATAGGAAAGCCGACAAGAACGTTCGGGAAATAAACTGCGACAGATTATATACGTAATATTAATCGACCACAATAACAAATATTAATCTATTCTCCATTAACGGGTTAATTGCCATTAATTATAGATAACTAATTACAGGCACAGTCATGCTGTCGTTAATACAAATCCGAGTGTGTCCGTTGCAGTACTCGAGACATGGCACGCATTGACCGTTGTCTGCAGGATTGCCGACATACAGAGGTAAACACTTCTCGCACTGCGGGCCCATCGTATTGTTATGACATTCCAGGCAGACGTCGAGTTTGTCGGGACCGGCGCAGTTACTGTGGCCGTTGCACTGACACTGGATGGAGCAGTTGGCGCCGACGTAGCCGAAATCGCAGCGGCACACATTGGGCTCCACGCACGTGCCTCTCACGCAACCCTGTGTGCACGTGGGCACACAAATGTTCCTGCGAATTATACAAAGTGCTTGAAAAGACTGCGAGATGCGTTTCGGGACAATTGAATAATTTTCGTCATAAACAGCGTTGGCTAAAAGGCAATAATAATAATAATAATAATAATAATAATAATAATAATAATAATAATAATAATAATAATAATCATAATAATAATAATAATAATAATAATAATAATAATAATAATAATAATGACAAATAATAAATCAAAGTCAAGTATGCAAATTCATAAAACTTACCTTCCAAATTCGTTCACCCAGGTACTGGAAATAAAAAGAGTCTATATTAATATATATAAAGAATAAAAGAGAAAGATGTCTCGAATGAATTTAGCGGTTAATATCAGAAAAAGAAATAAAAAACATTACGTTTCGGTCTTATATCCATCTCCACACTTGCATTCGAAACCTTCTTCCTGATCGAAACACTTCTCGCTGTTCGGCGAGCACGTATGATGCCCGTTTATACATTCATTCTCCGGAGGACAGCGTACATAGTGCCAAGAGAGCTTTGGTTTCACTACTGCGTTAGACAAAGACATTGTGACGTTGTCTTCCTCCCAAGCGTCTATATGTGGGTGTAACGTTGTGGTAATCGCTGTAATTAATTGTTGTACTAATTAATTAAATGATGCGACGAAACATTATTTTGAGTATTAGCGTTAAAATGTTAGAAATATGAATGCTCTTCCTTTATCTTGACAACTACCGGTGAAACAGAACAAAAAATGCATTACTCACGTGGTTCAGTTTGCGGGAAATGCTGATGATAGAGCATTTCGCAAGAACCATCCGCGGGATGATCAATCGGCGCTTCGAGTGAGCCCTCCGTGCATATTCCTTGACCAGTTATATCGGCGGAGTCTAAGGAGCACCAGCCGCAGTGCGAATGCTTCAGGCAAGTGCTGCATTGCATGAAAACTGAACACGGTTCTGGGCAATGGTCCATGTCTGCGCTACGCAGCACTAAGCCGCAGACACCGCCGGCGCAGTAGAGTGGCTGGTACGATGGAGAAATGCACTGGAATTTAGAAGTACTTGACAGTTATCTGTCTGACATCTATTCGTTAACTCCAAATTATTTTATGACTTTGAATGTAAGTGCGGATTGAGAGTTAGATTAGTAATTATAATAATTACATAAGATTAATGATCATGTATAACAGCGTTTCTTTTTTTAGCTTAATAACTTTGAAACAAGTAACAAATAATCGCTGTACAATATTTGTTTGTTTGGAAAGATTTATAGCATGGATCTGGATTCGCATTACTTCATTCAGTTGTGTAGACCATCTGCATTCGCTCCACCCTCCCTCGGCGCCGGTACCCTTCAGACAGCTCCTGCAGTCCTTGTGATCGGCGCATCTTCGTTCGCAATGCGTGCTGCTCATCTTGATGCTGGATCGCTCGAAGATATCATCCGGTACGCAATTCCAGTTGTAGACCGGCTCACTTGTTACCTTCATTCCCAATTCGGCTATCGCGATGGAAACAATTTTCTCTCATATCGTATACACGTGTTTCTCATTTGCAATTTTATTACACACTTTGATTGAAATTAATTGTAAATTTGTACGACTTGCTGAGAACTCACAAGTCGTAATACTATGGAAAGGAAATATATTTCTCGACTAATTTTTTTAATTGTGCAGAACTTACAAGTTTTCAGAACCTGTCTCGTCCACACGCAGTCGCCAAGACTGTTGCACTTTTCGCAGTCACTCGCCGGACATAATCGTTCCCCGCATTGATTCACGTTAGTGACCGCTAGCTGCCGGACGTTGCACTTATTAAGCTCGTCGCAATCCCTGTCTGAAGGGATGCATTTGCCGTATGAACAGTTGATGCACCATTTGCACACCTGCTTGTCGTCCTTGTAATACGGCCACTCTGCCAGGCATTCCGTACAGGTCTTAAAGTTCTGACACTTTCTGCTGGCCATCCAATCCGAATTACAGAAAATTCCGTTGGACCGTTGCGCTTGAGTGACATTTAAATCGCACCTGAAATTTAAAACAGTTATTACCTTCCCAGTAAATAGATATTTTTCTCAGCAAAATATGAAATAAAAATTGCTAAATTATTACTTCGAGAGCGAAGAAAATTAATAGAAGCAACATTCATATATACAAGATACGCAGAAAATTATTACGTTTCTAAGATTGCGCAGATCTAAAGTTAGAAATCAGGAGTTTGCGAGAAGCAAAAATCACAAAACGTACTTATCGTCTCGGTTACTCGACACCTCGTTTGAGAAGCAGAAGGAAGCGTTGGTGCCGGTGATAGTAGTGACGGCACAGAACGAGCAGCCAAAGTATTTTCTGCATGTGATCTTATCTGTCCAAAGATTGCACAGATCTTCCGGTATGTTGATCAACGTGACGTGACTCTTGATACTACCATCGAAGCCTCCGACGACGTAGACAGCGTTCGACTCTGGATCAGCGTGAGTCATCGCGTGAGCATACGCCGGCGGCGGCGGGCTGCCGATCGTTTCCATGTCCTTCGTTATTAAACGTATCCACAGATTACACGAGTACTTGTACGCGATCAAAGAGTCCGAGGTATTGTGAGGATTTTGTCGGCCGCCGAATATCACCATATACTCCTCCGTCGTAACCGCGGAATGAAGGAATCTAGCTTGAGGCTGAAAAAGAACAGTGAAATTTTACATCGGAGATTAAGTATAAAAACATACAAACCAAAATTGAATATATTGTTACTTAGAAAGTATCTTTGCAATTTTTCCCCAAATGACCGATAATAAATCAACATTTAAAAATTGAATTTTTATCACGAATTATGAATTTCAATTGCGAATTAAATAAATTTAAAATAAGAAATTCAATGTGACGCAATGTTCAAAAATACACTTTACCAGGTTGCTGCCATCGGTGAAATCTTCCTCGAACGGCGGCAAGACAGACCACGTCCGTGTCTTGTAATCCAAGGCGTACAACTTGTTCGAGATGAACGTCCTGTTTATAGCGTACGTATAGCCACCGAAGACGTAGAAGCTGTCCGACTTGCTGTGATACACTGTGGAGTGACCGTAAACGCCCAGAGGCCCGTTTCCCACGGTGTTCACCGTGTCCCAGGTTTCTGTTTCCAGGTTGAACTCCCAAACCGTGTCCAGGTATCCGTACTTGGGACTGAAACCACCGATCAAAATCAGAGTTTCCGACTCTCCATCCCTGCGTAAAGTCAACGTATGACCGGCTAAAGGTAGCGGGTCTTTCTTCGTCTCATCTTGCACGATCTGACTCCACCGCTGGTTCTGCAGACTGAACTTCCAGAAGTCGTTGAGGGTGTTGTTCGACAGACCCTGCACTTCTTCATCCTTCATCGACAAGCCGCCGTAGACATAGATCTGCTGTCTACTGTGCACGATCTCGGCGGCGTGAAAGTAACGACCTTGCGGCATAGACATCGCCGACGACGTAGAGTCCACCGTGATCAATATCCATGTATTATTCTTCGTGTCGAACAACCTGATGTCGTTCAACGGTCCATGGCTGAGCGAGTAGCCGCCGAACATCCACAAACTGCCGCGACGATCAGCCACCAGACTGTGGCCGAAGCGCGGCAAAGTGTTCCTTAGATGGTCCCACTGATCAGCCAGGTATTCCGAGTTGAAGAGCTCCGTAAAAATCAACTGGTGATCGTCCAGCCGAATGGAACAATCACGACCACCGTAGCCCGGCGAGCACACGCAACGGCCGTAGCCCTTATCGCAGACACCGCGCTTCTTAGCAGCGGTGCAGTTGTCAGGGCAGATCTCCACGTTGCACTCGATGCCGAAGAACCCAGGTTTACACAGGCAATTGCCGTTGCGACACTCACGATTCTCCGGGCAGTTGTTGCACGTCATCACCACGTAGCTCGCGTTAAAACCTTCCACCTCGTCCAGCTGCTTATAATGCACCGTCAAGAACCCTGACTTGGCTTCCACCGTCACCGGATAGTCGGTGCTTTCTGTGCAATACACGCCAAGCAGTTGACTCTGATGGCCACCGGATGAGGAGACAAACTCTGGTAAGCCGTCGTATACGTACACGCTGTTCTCTTGGCAACTCACATTGATGTCGTCGTGGATGGTGAACTGTATCACACTTTGAATAGTGGGCGTGGTCGCATCCGAGGAGAGATTGGTCTCGGGGCTGACGATCCAGAGGCACTCTCGCGTCGGTGAGTCGCCCATGTGATTGCCCCAGAGCGAAGACTGCGAGTGTCGACTGCCGAGGCCCTGCTTACCGTTACCCACGCCGCCCAGCATACCTCGTGACATGCAGCCGTAATAGCACATACCGCCGTTTCGTGGGTCGCCGTAATAACCTCGCTTGCAGCGCTGACACGTGTCACCTTCGGTATTGTCGCGGCAGAAGCATACGCCGGTCTGCCGGTCGCACACACCCAGTTCAACGTCGCCGTGTCCGTTGCAGTTGCATTCGCGGCATCCCAATGGTGTCGTGGCGTTGCCGTAGCTGCCTGCCTTGCACTCTTCACAAAAGTCTCCGGTCGTCCAGTCCTGACACTCGTCGCAGATGCCTACTCCCTGGTGACGTAGAAAGAGTTGCTAATTTGAAAATATATCGACTCTTTGCGATTTTATATCTATCTCGATACGTCGCATTTGGCTCTAGTGGATTCTATGAATTTATTTTCTATTCATTGCTAATATATATTTAATATACATATATACACAACTTATTTACAATATAATCGCTCTCATATATATATATATATATATATATATTCAATATAAATATATTACTGTAAATGCTGCGTTAAATACCGGCGGAATATTTTAATAAATGCAAACTTGCCGAGTAAATAAATTTTTATGAAAATCGGCTGAGGAAAAAAGTCCAAAGAACGATTAAAAGCATAAAGAATATAATAATAAAGAAATAAATGGATTAGATTGAGTTTCGTCTTGCGCTTACTTGTAGGCAAGTAGAATGATTGAAGCAGCCGCAGTTGTTCCGACAATCCGACCCGGTCCAGCCGAGATTGCACTCGCACTTATACTCCGGCGCCTCGCTGCAATACCCGTTGACGCATATCTCGTAACACGTCTTCGTGCAGTTCTCCTTGCCGTCGCCGTTGAAACCGCGCTTGCATTGGCAACTGAAGCTGCCGTGGGTGTTGGTGCAGAGCGCGTCGGGATGACAATCATGCAGACCGAGATCGCACTCGTCCACGTCCGGACACTGCGCATACGCCCAGCTGGACTCGTCGGCTTTAAGACTGCTGTTCCGGTATTCATTGATGACCAAGCTGCAGTTGACGTGGGGTTGATTGAAGTCGCCCTGCACGCACACGCCGGTGATGGGATTCTCCAGGCTGTAGCACCAGCCGCAGCTGAGCGAGTGCAGACAGCTAGAGCAATTGGTGTGCCGGCTGCAGCTCTTGCACTGATCGTTGCCGGTTAACGACGAGCCGGAACGCGACGTGACACCCATCAGACCTGCCTGATCCATCCATTCTCTGCACAGGCCGAACTGGTATTCCGACGTGTACACTGAGAAGGAGAAGCACTCTCTCGTGGCTTCGCACCACACGCATCTACCGCGCTCGTCCAAACACTGAGTACAGTTGGAGCGTTGTCGGCATGGGATCGGGCACTGATCTAAGCTCACCACAGCGTTGGGCAACCGACCGATTCGTGCGCACCTCGCGTCTTCCGTCCACCACTCACACAAATTGCTGCCGACGCACGACTCGCAGGAGATGTAGTTGGAACAGTTGGCGCAAGCCGACGGTGTGATGGTCAAGTAATGCCATTCGCGTATCGCTTTGCCAGCCTCATCCCATTCTACGTCCGCGGCGCAGCTCTCGATCTCGTTAGCCGAGCGCGGCAAGCATTGGTTCGTAATGTCGCACCAACCGCATGACGAGTCGGTCAGACAATGCAGGCAGTTGCCATATTGGTGACAAGAACCATTCTGATACGGCTCGAGGTATTCGAATGTGAATACCTTCGGGTTTTCCGTCTTCTTGTTGTGCGTGATTTCCATCTTGCTCGCATAAGCGTAGCTCGCGGTCACCATCCGCTTCGACTCGAAGTCTAATAGATAGCGGCCCGGCTGCAACTCCATCGGATGACCGTCCGGCCATTTTGTTGGTATACACTGCGACGTCTCCGCGGTCAGATTGGCCACCAGTTCCTGAACAGATCACACATTTTCAATGTAATAAAATAAAATAATTGTTAAAGTGAAGTAAGATAATTATCAGAAGGCACACCAGTTTATTGGGGTTATCGTTGCGCGAGACGTGAAGCGTCGCACTGTTGTAACTGACGCAGATCTTCAAGTGCTCCATCGCGCTGTCCCAGAAGTACTGCGGCGGTCTGAGGAAACCGGTCAACCTGGCAATCATCTCACCGCCCAAGGCCGACTCCGTCTTCGCACCCTGCATGGACGGCACGTTGAAATCGACCGTGGTCGCGTTTACTATAGTCACCGAGTCGGGTTGACTGAAGTTCACCGGCGGCTTGTATTTGAGGAATGTCAGGCCCGGTCTCTTGTCCATCTCCCGACATTCCTCCACTTTGATGATCTCCGTGCCTTTTGGGCCCCACCAGCCTGGTATCTGCGACGGTGTGTCATCCCGCAGACCGCACACGCCATAGTTGTCGTCCTTGTGGTGGCAGCGAGCGTTTTGAACGCACCACGTACAAGTTCCCAAATTCAGTTTGTTCGACACGGACTTCTTGCCGCGGAAGTTTGTACCCCAGCCGCCGCCGGGCTGGCCGTGTATCAGGCAAGAGTGACAGTCGCCCAGAGCAGGACAGACACCCGGACAACGCGTTGTCTGCAGATTCGTCGTGCAGTTGCTGCCTATTGTGCGACCGTAACATATCTGAAACGTGTGTCAGAAGTTCCAAAATTGGGAGCATACGCTTGCAGCAAACTTGCTAATTGAGACATTTACTTTATGTCTATTTTACATCATTACCACAACTGTGGAGACGTTTCCTCGAGTGAAGCATGGTAACGAATATATTAAAGCGAGAACAACAAGATGGCTTACTTCGTCCGCGGAACACCAACCGCACTCGGGATTCGCCGCGCACTCCATGAGACTCTTGTGTCTCGAGCAGATTTGCTCCGGCTCGATGTAGTCTTCGTCGCCCGGTGCGAGCATAGGCGGTAGAGTGTACGCGAGGAGATCTGCATTCACGTTGCCGTGGTACCCACCGACGAGTAAGAGGGTATTACCGTTACGCACATCCGCAGCGTGTGCGAATACTCCTTGCTGCTTGGGATAACGAGAGTCTAGAAGCAAAAGAATAAATACCGTCGATGTAAATTCCATTGTATCCAAATTGACGAGTTTCTTTTTTCTTTCTCGTTGAGATTCGATTAATTTTACCTTTGTCGTTCAAGCCCAGCACATCGTGGCTCACCCAGGCGTGACAACCGAGATGATATAGATACATCTGATTATCATAACAGATCTCCTCTTTGTTATGCCTGTGAGAATATCCGCCGAATACCACCAGATAATTGCCTATCGAAGAAACAAGCTGGTTACGTAACTCTCCGGAAGAATCTGACGAATGCAATAGCAATGCGACTTCATCTGACCACGTCAGCCAATTACCTATGATGTTACATGTGTGAAACGCGCGTTCGCGCGGCACGTAGGTGTCTCGCAGGTGCGCTCTCGGATAATGAATCTCAGACCAGACCTTCCTGTCGAGTTGAAACACAAACATCCGGTCCGACAGTTTGCTGAAGCGAGCGACGCTAGCGACCACTCCTCCGTACACGAGCAGGGAATTAGTGGCACGATGATAAACGGTCGAGTGAGCAACCACGCGCACGTCCAGTTCCTTACCGCCTCGTGGTCGCACCTCTGTCCACCTCTCGGTGGTCGCCGTGGGATCCGCTGCGGGAATTGCGCGATGAGCTGACATTCATCTCGGTACGAAGCGCATGTTCTCTTTGTGTGTAATAATCGCTTCCTGTAACTCGGCTTTGCTTCACCGGACTTCGAGGTCCGCGAAGCGTTAATTGCAAAACGCCGTGTCATGTAAGCGAAACAAGTCTGTTCGTTGAGCGAAAGGTAGAAGATTTCGTTAAAGTCTTGGATTCTCGCAAATCAAAGTGACAAAGATATGAGCTAACAAGAAACGAAGTTGAACTTACACAAGTGCAATTTGATTTTATAGAGACTTGAGGAGAATTCGCCATCAACAGTGCTGCCTCCGAATAAATAGATGTAATCGTCCGCTAATGTTAAGGTGTGCCTCGTGAGTCTGGGCGGATAGAAGGGAGAATTTTTCGCGCGCAGGGTCCACATGCGCTCGTTCACATTATAATGCCACAGCTCGTTCGACAAGGAGCCGTCCTGCACTTTTCCTCCGTAGATCACCAAGCCATCTATAAAATTACAATCGCAAGTGGAGACTGTCGACAAACAAAAGCGCGCGAAGAGAATTCGCTGAAGAACTTATCTACTTGTTGTGTTATTTTAATACCAATTAACGTATGATACACGGAACGTGTCAATGCGCGCGTGATATTAGCGGTAGGTTTCCTCTTGCGAGTTCTTCCTTATCGTATATTTATTATTAGCGCAGATTAGCAAGAGCTGTCGTTTGTCGGTGTACCTTGGTATTTACAAGCAGCGTGACCATATCGGGGACTCGGTTTGGGCAATTCATCGATAGTCGACTCCGTAGCTTCCTCCTTCAGCGACTCGCTCGTGGTTAACTTCGGGTCCATAAACTCCTGCATGAAGATGTTCTCTTCCGCTGGCCCTGCCACAATTTGTTCCTCCCATTTGACGTCGTCATTCTGAACGTCGTCCGTGGCGTGACGTTCCCTATATAGATCTTCTAAGTTCCTGCGATATCTTCAACAAACAAATACATGTATGATCAATAAGATATTCTAGATTTATCTATTCTAAATAGCGCGCATTGCGAATATGCAAAATCTCGATGAAGACACAGGAAGCATTATGAAGACGAGGATCTATCACTTACTAATTACCTTCTTGCCGACATTGGCAAATATCGCGGCCTTATCCGCGGATGCTTCCTCCTGGAGTCGTCATTCCTATCGATCCTAATGGTGCTTCTGCTTCTCTCGTTTTCCTTGTCTTTGGTCCGGAAATCTCTGTGTTGACCTTCCACGTTTGTTCGATCAAATCGGCCGAACGTGTTATTGTCTTTGATACTGTAAAGCACCTTCCAGATCAAGGACGACGTCGGTAGACCGTATATTTCTTTAGCCCCAGATCCGATGCGTTCCAATTCGGTGGCGATCAACATGGGATCCAGATACTCGTCAGATGCAGCACCCTCTGAAAATGTGAGAAATATTTTTATACACACATGTATATATTTTATGTAAGTACGGTAGTAATTAAATTTTTGAGTAAAAATACACGATCAATATATAAAATACAAAAAATTGCAGTTAAGAAAATACAAGTTTAAATTCTCATACACGTAACGTTTGCGCATCAATTTATATACTCACCTAACACATTTCCATATTCATCTTCCCATTGACTTATGTTAAATCTGTACACTTCCAAGTCACTGAGTACATAATTGAGATCGTAACCTCCGAAAACGTAGAGCGAGTCTGTCTCGTGAACGTAGACTGCAGTATGAGCTGCCCGTGGTCTAAGTCCGCCTTCCGAATGTGAAAGCCAGTGCCACCTGTAAGGATTAGATTAGTTTACAATTTTTGTTCCGTAGTCTACACTGTTACACGTTACGACATATGATGTTACGGAAAAGTATCTTTAAAAGTTTATTGTTGACATAATAAATATGATTATGCAATTTCGAGAGAACGTACCGATTTCCTTCCGGATGACTTCTATGCAATGAGCAAGATTGCCCGGAGTATCCATCGTTGCACTCGCACCTTTTCACCCCGCAAGAACCAACGTGGCTGCAATTGTTTGGACAAAGTGCTCGGGAGCAATCTTTACCTCCCCAATCGTTCTCACAAAAGCAAGTATTATTAATGCATTTCCCGTGGCGGGTGCAATTGTTCGGGCAGTCCGTGACTGAGAACTCCGCGTGAAAGCCGTCCAGTACGTAATTTGTATCGCTATACAACAATATCAGCATCTGCAAGAGAAATGTATAATTTTGTAGATCTCCATAGTATCAATTTTATTTGGTTTTTATTATCGTTCTCTTATCGTCGGATATTGCATTATCTCTTGGAATCGTACGCTTAATTTGTGTAATCTCGCACTAGGAGAAATCATAACAATCTTTTGTGTTCATCATAAGCAATATGCTGATGCGATTAATGCAGATAATAAACCTCTGCAAAAACTTGAAACTGCAATGTATTGAGTCTGCAATCTATATATTAGTCGTTATGTTATGTACTTACATAACCAGATGATGATGTCACTTGCTGCGGCTCCGTTTTCCCACTGAAGCTGCCCAGAAGCGGAGAACGGAAAGAATCTCCATCGTAAACGAAGACATAATCATAACTGCACTCTGTGCCCATCGTGCGAAAACTTAACGTAATGAATTGATGGCTGTGGTTAGCTGTAAAAAAAATGTAGACATGAGTCATGCGTATAAATATGTTAAACATTTTAATTCTATTATTGCTTGCACAATAATGCTTCATCTTCTGAAACCATCAATTGCTTCTCATCTGCACCTTTAATGAGCCATTCGCAGTGAGAATCTTGAGTATAATTTGAGCCTAAAGGCCCATCGCTAATGATGCCCCATGTGTCCATGAACACCTTTCTCGTTTTGTCGCATGGTACTTGTTTTGGAGATGCCTGAGGAGCTAAACTGAAGCCCCGCATCAGGCAACCCCATATGATGACCCATGTTGTGGTGGATATCACCCACCCCATCACAGCGTATTCACTTCACTGTTGTGTAACACCATATACATCATCGTCCGTACTCATCAGATTATTTCTTGAGCAGTTATGCAGTGTAGAACATACAGAAAGGATCATAGCTGAAAGAAACATATTTCTTATTTGATTTATATTTGAACCTTCAGTACAAGGTGAAGAGATATTTTTGTGTTCAGAAATAAATTAAATGCAACTGCATGCTGTATTATAAGGATGATAAACAATATTTAATACAATTACTTGGTAAGCAAAAATATAGAAATATATATACATTAAATATTATATATTGTAAATTAAATTTGTAAATATTGTAAATTAAATATTGTATATTATAAATTAAATATTGTATCAAATATTGTATGTATGAAAATTGAAAATTGTACCCTACAGTAAATTTAATATTAGAACAAAAATCACTTTTGCATATATATCATTTTTATCAAGATTCTATGATAATACAATGATAATACAAGAATAACCAACTGGTTATCAGGCTGTAATGTACTAATATTAGGCTTATGACGCTACAAATTTTTATCTGCTGTTTATTCAGACATTGTCATGTTTAAAGATCCTCTGGTATATCATATAAAAATAATAATTTGCTCACGAGAAACATATGTGTGTTATATATGTCTGTACTTGAGACTACAAAGTATATAAATTCTTAAGCATACTTCAGATAATTTCATTGAATATATTATCATAAACTCATAGTATTTCATTAAATATTATCAGAAAATTTCAACTAAACTGTAGCATGATATTACAGCAGACGTATAATAAACAAGCATTAATGAATTGAGGATGAGGCATTAATTCCGCACACAAAATCCGTAAGGTAAAAACACATTCAAAGTGTTATCTTTGATTTCGGTAATATTGGCAATTTTTTATCTATACTTGCAAATTTGTTGTACACCATTATCACGATTTATCATTATTATCATATCCATTTACTACCATAAAGTAGAACAAAATCAGCGCGCAAGTACAGGAGATGTCATTAATTGGCAGAGGAACACTGAACGATCGGCGATATTTTCATAAATAATCGAGAAAACGCACAGCGAGACATTCGCGAGCAACGTGTACTACGCGTAACGCATATTGAAGGACAATCTCAGAAGCGAGCCAGCGTTACGCGAGAACGCAAGGCTGTCGGCTCCTGATCAATTTGCAAATAAGCACAAATAAGCAAATGACACACACGCACACTCGCACACACTCGCGTGCACACACGTATGCATGTGTCCATGAACTTTCCGTACCTATCACGAGACGACGACGACGACAACGACGACGATGACGGCAGCGACGGCGACGGCGACGGCGACGGCGAGGAAGAAGAAGAGGAGGACGATGAGCGCAGCATAACAAACTGCGGCTATCAATACCGCTCCTCGATGTTGACAGGACTCAGGCAGGTCCTGAGGACGGTCACACCTTCGTTGACGAAGGGACGGAATCGCGCTGCATCCTGCAGCAGTAGAAACAGTGACAGAAAAAGGAAAGAGAAAGAGAGAGAGAGAGAGAGAGAGGGAGAAAGAGCGAGGAGGGAGACAGAGTTGTGTGAGCGTGTCAAAACATCGCGGAAAGGAAAGTCGCGCGAGTTGACCGAGGCTGCCGCGTTGACGGGAAGTCCGCGCGAGATGTCGAGTTGGATCGACGGTAACCTCTTCGGAATGGGAACGAGTTACGTGCGATACCAGCTACGGACACGACGGAATGTCGTAGCGAACGTAGCGTAAATGTAAAACACTGGTTACAACGGTGCCTCGCCTGGTTGACACCTCGATTACCTCGCTATATCACTCTCTACGATCGTAGTCGAGGTGGGGAGAAATTCGCGATAGCCATTAAGGCCGCCGGCGATACCGCGATACCTATCGAGGCATCGATGCCGCTCGACGTCGTATTTCCCGCTTGAAGTATTTCGCACTCGTCGATCCTCTTCGATATCTCGATTGAGCAGCGTTTCGATGCTCTCGACACCCGCTGATCGATACTTTCGAAAATATACCGCGCCTACGCGCGTTCGAACTTAAAATTGCACATACGTGAAAATATTCGAGAGATTATACTGACGTTAGTTATTGAGGTGTAAATTTTGGTCCTTTTTCACTTTGTAGCGCTGAATATGGCAGTTATGTTCATTAAAGAGAAATATACGTTTAATAACAGTAAAATATTCAATTTCCCTGTCGCTAAGTAGTGTAAACTCATTACAACATATTAGCCGGAGCAATTGTTCCGTATGACATAAAAATCAGTTGCTGTTTTAAAAACGGTTTCATTTTGAATTTAAACTACTTCAAAGTTGCATGTAGACGCACCGGAAGACGAGCGGGAAGGTATACGGGGATTACTTACAGCTAGTGACTCGCGACGTACTTTGACAATACAAATGTTTATTATCTCGGCAAGAATAAATTACTTCAATCCTTCTCGGTCGTTGTGTTCGTACAACGTAAACGCAGGAGTGGGGAAATAGACAACACGTTATTAGAAATCTTAATTACGCTCCAGGAGTTCATCGTTTGAAACAGTTTGAAGACCGAAGCGCTCTTTTTAGTCGCGGTAAGCCGACTTTGCAAAACTTTTGAAGTTTGCTAATTGATGCAGGGAGTTGCTCAGATCTTAAATAATGTATCGTCAATATAATTAGTATAAAAGGATCAGCGTTTTTCTTTTCTTAATTTATGATCAGAATAAAGCATATTCGACTTTTCAATGTGTGTCGGCTTTATAAGATATATATTAATCTATCCTCTCCTACTCCTTAAAATTTATATTTATCGTTTAATAAAATATTCAACAAAAACTAGAAACTAACTCGAGAACGAATGATCTTTCGTAAAAGTACACCGAATCGTGGCGCATATCCTGATGTCCGTTATCTTTGTAATCTTCTAAAGCCGAAACATTAATTCTCCCGTCACATCAACTACAAATCGTCACTATGTAAAATCGCAAATTCGTCATTGTCTCGAAACTCACACCGCGCGAACAAACCCATAATGTTTAAGCCTTAAGTCTGTCCTAAGTTTAACCATTTCCTGTATTTCGAGTGTCTATTTTAATTAGTGTTAATATTATATACTATTGTTATACACTGTCTCGTTCCCGTGACTACAAAGAAGAGAACAAAAAAAGTAAAGAAAAGAGCGAGAACAATAAATAACCATTCCCGCACAGTGCAGCGGTGTTACCTCTCACAGTAGTAACCTAGATAGATCATGTATTTGTTATTATCCATCGACAAATATACCGTACATTTCCAGAGTCTCGACGATTGATACAATCGCTCTGTGGCCATGTAGCTTGTATTTTTCAACCACGAATGCGGTACGCATTATTACCTTATCTGTGAACAATTTCAAAAAGATACTCGCGCGTGCCGCTCGTATGCATGTTTTAAGTATAATGCGTGTGTATTTTCTCCATTTTTTTTTCAACCCTTCAGCCGGTAGATCAACCCTTTGCGCTGCGAAGCATCAACTCCTATCAAGTACTATCACTGTACACTATAATAATATTGTATAATATTACAGTATTATTATATTATAGCGTGTAAGATTAACAGTAGACTTTATCGTTAAATTATCATAACCGTACCGTCGCACTACAATGCTAATGTATTATAATATTATCATTGTTACGTAATAATGCTAAAGAAACAAGTGATACGTTCTCATCTCTCTTTCTGTCTTTCTCGCAATTCAAAGACATTGGGCAAAATTCTCATCTTCATCAACCCGTCTCATCGAGTTACTTAGGCCCCTCAAGTGACTCGATTTCTTCCAGTCATTAATCATAGTTAGTGACGATCCAATTCTATTATCCAATAACCCAGAAACAGCCTCGCAGAACAGTTTCCCTGATGTTTCATCAAACGGTCAACCTGTAGTATGGATCTTGAGCAACAAATCTTCAATCATTTCACATACAAATGTTCCACGGCAATCTGACCGTTAGACTTTTAACTCGATACCGTGACGAAAGTACGTTCCGAATGCAAAGCGTTGGCTCTCTGTCTATCCGCGACAGAATTCATTTATTCTGCCTGTCTTTCTCCTTTCTCTTAATGCGACCAGACGCGAGTTACATATCAATCATATCGTGACATATCAAAAAGTCGAAGCGGACGATGCGACGAGCTCGGTTTGTTCGCGTCTCACCAGAGCTACGAATGGATGAAGCTATCGGTTGAAGGGTTTGACGTTGTTTCTTTCGGAGGAACATGATCTGTATTTGGAAAATCTCTTGTCCTAGAACGATGCTTTGCGATGTTCGAAATGCGCGTGAAATCACGTAGCTGGTCGTACGTTCCGGAGTCTCGCTCGTTGTGAAATCGAGATCTCCGCGAAGTCTTTCACGGACGAACGAACGGCCAGCCCCGTGGAGACATCGAGTGTCCGTCGAGTCGTCGACTCTACACCGCGGAGAGAGAGACTGCAAATTATTCGCAGCGATATCGCAAGACTACTTAGAATGAGCAAAACTGCGCACACCGATGTGTCGGCCTCGGTGTATGTAGGTGTGACGAGACAAAATGAGAAATATGAAAAAAAAGAAAAAAAAACAATACACGATGATCCTCATATTCCATTCTTTTTTTTTTTCAACGATTTTTCTTTATTTTCTTCGATCGTTCTCTCGTTCGTCGAATAGCTCGCGTTGGGTAATGTCCCGTGAATGACATAAATAAATGAATATGAAGTTTCTTCTATGTGACTACGAAAAATAGTTTACCTTACGATCTTATTAAAACTTGAGGTACAGCTGTCAAAAGGCAATTCGAGGCGCAAAGCGAACGCCCGCTCTCGCCTTCGCGCGATTTTTCATTCGACAGCTCGTGTAAAAATGTATCAACTAATGGCATCGTTTGCTTTCCGAGAGACAAGCGATCTGCATTTCTTCTTTTTCTTCTTTATCATTATTTTCTTCTACTTATTTTCTTCATGTAAACCCTTAAAGTTTTCATTTTTTTTTTTTCTTATCTTTTGTTCGTTCGTATAATATAGTATTCGAATCGACAGCGGAAGAGATATGAGGAGTGCGAATTCTTTCTTCCTGATCTAAATAAAGATATACCTGAAGACACTTTTGTACTAAAAATACAACTCCCGCGTCAGTCCCTGTCGCAAGAAGAATCGCGGGAGTTAGAGAATCGTCCTCTACCTAGCCTGCATCGGATTCATTAGTACTGAGAAGGTCCTCGTTAAAAAGTACTACATAGTATATAGAGTGAGTAGAAACAGCCATATGCCGGTAGCTTGCTCATCGAATTATCTACCTTCGATTTTTGCCTTAAAGAACAAATAAGATCTGATCGTTCGATCGACTAACTAACGAATGTCGCTAGAACCGCATTCTCGGAGAAGGTAGAATTTTATATCTTTTTTGTTTTCTAGATAGCTTGAATCTTTAAATCGCTAAGTCGGCGAATAACTAAATCTTCGAATTGCTGAATCATCGTGTGATCTTACTGGCGAATGAACGCTCAAATCAAAATCTCGGGACTTTTGGAGACTTGAACTTTTATCCATTCATATAGTCTAAATTTTCCGAAGCCTAAATATTTCATTGTCATTGTTTAGATTCAGCAATTTTTCAGTTTTTTTAATATTTAGATTAAAAACTGTAATACTTAGACAAGTACAGCTTAAAAGCACAAATATGCAATCACCTTGATTAGTTGATTAGCACATTCAAGGCCTCCAAACCATTTCCGTTAGGAAAAATTGACTCAATGTTTTTTTAGACAGCATCCCGGCTACACATGCTCTTTCCAACACACGCTGTACAATACACGCAGAAAAATGGACCGATTGGAGGAATGGTACGCATAAGAAGAATAAAATTCGGGCATATTTTCTTCGCGCACCGCATCGTCGCGTACTACATCGGTACGCCTTGGAAACGCCAACGATCAACTTCATGTTGCAACTTGCAAGGGTAGCATTCACTGAGATCCGTATATTGATATTTTCATTTAGTCTAACATTTGTCGTCAAATGTTTATCTCGGAATGCTCGCCTGAAGCGAAAGACGCAATCACGGAACACAGACTGCGAATGTCGCGTGGCCATACTTGGATACGGAACACGAGGATCTTAGCAAGCCTTTCATCAAACCCCAAATCGCAAAATAGCGTTGATCGTTTCGCTCTTAAATTACCCACACGCAGTCTGTATGACGCGCATTATACAGAATTCTCAGAAATACAGACGAATCCTCGGTAATACTTCGGCCTATCAACTAGAAATGTAGCGCGAATGATAAATTACAAAAAGACCTCCTCATCCTCGCATCACGCAGAGTCCCTCTTAGTTTTACACCTCCATCAGAACCACGAGAAGCAGGGTTTCTTGAAGGAAAAGCATCAAAGGCAATCTTTAGCAGCTTCGTCCTCTCCGTAAATTTCGGGTAGCACAGTTGGCTGTCCGCACACTAGGCCGGGAATGCTCTTCGTCTTCATCGAATGACCGAATGTGTTCGCGCATACACTAAAGTCCTTTGTCATCTCGCTGATCTCTATGCTCTCTTGCCGTTCGCAACTGGTCGACAATTTTAAAGCTGGCACGGAATATATACTGTCACCTCCAATACTACTGTTCTTACCAAGCGACGTGGTCGTCGACGGTCGATCCAGATAAAAGTCCTAAAAAAGAAATATATAAAATTGCTACAAAATTCAAATCAACATTAATTATCGATAATCATTCTATCATAAAATAATTTACCTTCTCCGTGTTGAGCGGCATGGGCGGCTGTGTTGTTTGATTGCACTGTGCTAAAGCTATCAACTCCTTCTGATTTTCTCTGGCGTTCACGAGGAATATACTCTCCTTCACTTCTTTCGCGTTATACTCGTCGATTCTAAAAATAATATAGTAAAATTATATTATGTTATATAACATATTACATTCATTATATTTGTGAGAAAAATATATGTACAATTTCTATATTTGTCATATTTGATATATATACTTCTTTTTGTTTCAATCTCCAATCTTATTAAACTATCGACTATTCGAGTCACTCGTGCTTGAATTCGCCTAATCACTTACTTATCGTATATAACCGCGTGCAAGCCGAGTTTCTTCAGATGTTGGATAGTGGCCTTGTCGTTGTTGTCGTCGCCCCAGCAAAAGATGATCAGTCCCGCGTCCTTAACTAACTTAACTTGAGACGGATCTCGGAGAATATCTTCGGTGTGGACGTTAATTCCCAGGATGTCCGCGGCCAACGCGTGTCTCATGGCCATCGGGATCGTCTGGCACCGCGAGTCGTGGTAAGTGGGATACTTCAACGTGACTCCTTGCGTTAGGAATACTACCGGATATTTGTTCTGCTTGAGGCGGATCATCGCGCAGATATCCGGATTGAAGCAGGAAAAAACGATTTTCCGGTCACCGCCGTATTCTAATACCACTTTTAGGATGATGTCTAGGTACAAGTTGAGATCGAATGGATGATTGAGCTCGAACGTGCCATCCTGGTGGACGGAAATCAGTTTATCCATTGTTGCGATGCTGTTAACTATTATCAAGAGAGACAACATGTCAAAAATATTCTCACCTTCAACTGCATAGTCCATTTAATTTCAATGTTGCATCCGACGTGTTGTTCCAGTTCCTGGAGAACAGTTTGCAGCGTGGGGAAAGGCTGGTGGTCCTCTAGATCCTCGTCGAAAAATCTCGGATTCTTCTCCCTACCTTCGGCCACGTGATAAACCTGGAAGAAAATCCCCATTAATGAGATATGTGCATGCATGACGAGCGTTAAAAGAAGATTGTAAGAGTCGATAAAGTGTAGATCACATCGTCGCCGACGCAGTAAATATTCAAAGCAAAACAAGACATCAAGATCAAGATATTGAGTTTATGCGAATATATATCTTTTGGAACTTCGTGCAGTTCGTGATGTATTACTCGCATGCTATGATTGACGAGAGTCTGTATAAGGCGTGTCGGAAACATTTAGGGACTGAGCTGCGGTGGAAACGCAGCGCAGTTGTGAGGACGAAAGTACTGATAGTCTCTTTCTCTCGGCTAAGTTTTTGCTAAATAGAGCCTGAGAAAATTGTGGTTTCAACGACTTCTCCGAGTGATCAGTCCTGAAATTCTTTCCCCGCACTCTGGATAAAATCCAACTTGTGTGAGAACATTTAACATGAAATCGGTAGGAAGATAATGAAACTGGTGAATTAAATTGACGTTTAAATTTTATTAAATTAAACAAAACGTCTAACGTTAGAAATGAACATTTCTTTGACGATATCTTGCCCTTTGCGTAATAACTCCACATTGGACAAACTTTATGACTCGCTACAAAGCTCCCAGACTGAATGTTCATCGAATGTACCTAACTTTCGCGAGAGCAACTTGCGAAGATAAAGCTCTACCTAAAGATGAAATTAATCGCTCAACCATATTAATTTTATTAATTAATTGACGTTATCTCGTCAATGCTGTTGATTTTCGGGATAGAGTTAACGGCACTTAATTCAATGTCTCAATTCAAAGAAAGATTTGCAACCGAGAATCGCATAAATCCTTCCCCCATATCTTTCACCCATAAATTGAAGGTCGCTTTTCAATTGTAAATCTATTAATAAACTTCGTCACCGAAAGCCGCTCATAAAGAGAAAGAAGGAAAGGAACTTACAGATGAATATTCAGCTTTGGCTTCTAAATAAAGCGAAACATTGCGTTATAATCGCAGTGAGAAAGATGATTGTTTTTTTTTCGCAACAGCAACAGTTAATCGGTGGTACTCTGATGGATCGCTTGGTACTCGATCGCTTGGTAGCTTTTGAAGATGCATGCAAGTCAAATGAGTATACTGGTTATACGTTTTTGGCGAGTTAGCTGGCACAAGCGGTATAAAAGCTCACCAGTCTGTTAACCCCCTGCTCAGCTTTATCAACGAAATAGAGCACCTTACCCAACGAGTCTCCCGGGTAACAATAATCCTGAATATTATAAAAGACCGAATATAAAATACAGACAGATTACGAGCATGTCATTTTTTGGTTTATGTTTGTGCGTGAGTCGAGAGATGGATCTCTACGTACGACACAGTCCTGCGAGGTGAGATCTCTATACTTCTCCCTTATTAAGAAAAAAGGTACACAAAAAGCGAAACATCGATTCGCGAGACATTCCCGTAGAGATGTATATTCCGCTGCACCATGTTAAATGAGACGGGCCATTGTATGCAAATGTTAATTAAGCCGGTGGAAAATCGAGCAACTGTGACTTCCGATTCGAAAATTCAGATATCCAGATATAATAAATGTATTCTCCACCGATATATATGTATTGCAGAAGCTGACTTCATAACGTTTCAGGCATATAATTCTTCCGCGGGCTTAATTAATCGCATATCCCGAAAATAGTATTAGCTTCTAAACTTAATTTAACAGTACAGTCATTCTCTACAAAGATTATACACTTGCATCATCGAAAATATAACAAAATATAATAAAACATATATATATGTAAAGTATACTCGTTCAATGATATATAAATTACACTAATGATAGTCACACTAATGATTGCAATTTATACACATTTTAAATCAATCGTCAATAAAAAGTAAATGCGGAAGAAACCAGTACAAGTACAAATACGTTCCCTATCTCGAAAATGCAATACATGAAAATGCATGACACAGAAGATATCGCAGCAATATAAATAAAAATACCTTGAGTAGATGTAGCTGCTCTAAAGTGAGATCCTTAACGGGTATCTCCAGCATGTCCATAGCCTCTATCTGCTTCTTACGTTTCAGCGAGATAGATACATAGAAGTCATGGTAGATCACAGGTATATGGTCTTTCGAAAGTTGAACGTCGAACTCGACCATGTCCGCGCCATGATATGCTGCGGTCTTCAAAGACGCGATCGTATTCTCCCGCACATTAGCACAGCTGGCACAGAAACGATTGCCAGATTAGGAAAAGTGTAACAAGAAATTTATCACAAGGAGAAACGAGAATAAGAATCGTGTTATAATTAAGAAGGCATAGAAAGAAATCATTATAATCGTGCAAAAATATTTGAAATTCTGACTTTACAAATTAAACATATAATTGATCTTCAGGTTCATGCATACATATTATGACAGATCAAATTACTTTTTCGTTTCAAATTTGAAGGATGTGCCAAGTCCTCGATGTCCTACGTCTAAGCCTGACCACCGCTGCTCCCAGTGTTTCGCGTATGAAATGCTCATGTCCCACGGATAATCCGGAATTGGTTTTATCACAACGTATTCTACCGTCAATTGGCCTGTTGCAGACAAAACAGACCGACGATACAAATTAACTAGTTCAACTTCCTCGCGATTGCAATCATTAACTTGCTTGTACTAAATTTTTATATAAAATATTAAGAATATTCCGTGTGAATATTAAGGCTTACCAATAGGTCTATGTTTTGTACTAGTGATTGGTACGGTCAGAAGCCCGACGCTAGACTGTAAAGTACTTGGCAAGATGTAGCTAAAACCAATGTGATTTGGTGGTTCTCCTGGGTAACATCTTGAGCTGTACACGTAGTAGTCCACTAAGTACGCCTGGAAAAACAGTCTACTTAATGCTTCATCGAAAAGACCTAGCACCGTGAACAACACCAAAATATGTTTGTTTCAATGCAATTTTAGCTCATCCACTTTTCGAGTTTGCTTCAATATTAACCAAATCCTATGATCAAGGACAGGCAAACTAGAACAATTAATGTTTTAGCTATTTGTTTTTAAATTAAGAATTTTGTTTCTTTCTTTGCCACAACAATTTCTATTGTACGAGAAGAGATACTATTAAAACAAGATTTATCCCGTTAAAAACTCGCGAATAATCCCATATAAAATCGTACGAAGCGACCGGAAGCTTTCGTTACGCTTCGCGGCATGGCGGAATTTTGAAAATGATCGAATCGTTGATAGGCAAGAGCAACAAATTTCTGGCAAAACACGGTCTGAACAAAAGTGAAAAATCAATTCCCTATCTAATAATCTAGCAATGAACCGGACCAATAATTGCCAAATGCTGTACACTGCCTGGTGACGCGTATCCCGCAACACCTGCCGAGATCATTCAATGTTAAATTTCGAGAGAGTGAAATAGAGATAGATAGACAAAGATAGAGCAAGTCAGCAACGTTTGCAATTCGGATTCAGAAGATACTGACAGCATAGATTCTGGCATTGGCCGCGCAGCGGTGACACGTACGGTACAGAAGAAGTCGGTCAGAGCTAGAAAATATTAGTAGTATACTAAAAGGATATAGGACTGATGGGAATCTCACCATTTTCGACGCACACAGATGGATATGAGATGTGATAGCGTTGATATCGCAACATTTTTAGGAGTTTACGGAACGGCTGCGACTCGCGTAAATCGACAGAGACTGGAATGGACGGAATTAGAACGAAGCGACGCTTGAATCGTCGTTGCCCGAACGTATGAAGTCTCATCAATCAATCAGTCAATTAACGAGCGCAATTTTTGACGAGATAAAAAACCGTGAGCACGACAACTTACGAGAGCCCAGCCTGAAGGATGGGTCTGGTGGGGTGAACGACAATCAAAACCATCATATCTCTGTGTGATGTCATGTGACACAGATGTAAAGTGGTAGACGATGCTTAGCATCGATACATCAGATTGCATGTTAGCATCATCATTTGCACCAGAGCTCTTGCTTTTGTACAAGCCGAACGAGTCTTCTCCGTGTTCCCGGGGACCGGACACCGTGCTAGCACGTCGCTGCTGGCATTTCCCAGGAGGGAGATAGCTGCTGGACAAGTTTAATTATCGTTTACCAAGTAATTCGAACAAGTCGCGCGAGGAGACGTGGCCGGCCTACTCGTGGTCTACTGAAAACTCACATGGTATGGTCAATGCGTATTCTTAGTGTGCTTAGCTTCGTTTCGTGAATCACCACTAACTAGTCATTTATTGCTCTGCCGTATCAACGATCTCTTATCCTTCGTTTTTATCTTTGTTTATGGTCGCATCGCGCGTGAGTTCCCCCCTCCGAGAGAAATCGAATGCGAGTAAACAATTTTGCGTAAAAAGTCGATTGGAGATGAGGGGAACATTGGTGCACATTCTTAACTTCTTTGTTGCATGAATATGTAACGAAAGCGGATGTATAATTACTTTCTGAACGCATAATGCTACAGACTGATACATATGAGCTACGACAGGATAACGGTACGATACGCATCACTAGAATTGCAAGCAATGCAAGCAATAAATCCCAGCCATGGTTTTTCACATAATCGTGTATTTAGTATGATGCTTTTGATGAGGCTCTTTGTGCGGAAACTTACGATCATTTCGGGATACCGAACGGCAACATTGAAGATTACAAATTCGTCTTCATCGTATGGACGACCGAATTGCTCCTGGAACTTGAACCTAGCCTCTTCATCATTCATCACCTGCAAATGTACGTAGGAACGTATTGATTGATCGCAATCTTATGTAAGAATCTTATGTAAGAAAAGACACTCGCGAGATTACTCACAGCAATCTCCGTAATACTGGTAAAGGCGGGTTGATCAACAATATCTTGCGTATCCATAGAAAGACTATCGTCTACACAGTCGCCTCCAAACTGTTGCAGTTCTAGAGAATTATGCCTAACTAGATTTACAGGTGTCATCTGTAACATAAATTAAATGAATTAAATGAATAAATTAAATGACGTGTTAGAATATAATACCTTGTTATAAGTCAAATATGGGATACAATATTTTGAAGGTTTCCAAGTTTATGTTATCACTCTTCGCCGATTAAATAATTCGTTAATTTTCCGATTTGAATTTCAAACGTAAAAGAAATGTAGATACAAAATACAAAATTACAAAATGAATAAATTTATTAAAGTACCTTAATGTGAACTTTTCTGTTCTGTAGCCGGTTCTTCCAGAGTTTAATAGGATTGTTAAAAAGTTTAAATTGTATCACAGTTTCATCTGTCAACCAGCCTCGTTCGATCTTATAATAACCATTGTAATAGCCAAATTTGTCGGGATCTGGCAATATATCTTCGGTAAAATTGCTTGGTGCTGTAAAAAGAATTGTGGAATGTTATATACAGTTTGCAACGTTTCAAGTTGAATATCTTCAAGAGCATCGTGTTTTATGAACGGTTTTACCGTAAAGTTTCTTCTAACGTTTAATTGTATTTTACCGGGTAAAAAATACTGTTGCATGAATACGTACTATTTTTTCTGATCAACCGTGGTGCCATGTGAGTTTCCCATTTGCGAATAATCAGAGTCTTGGCCGAATTTTTAGCACCGTTTGATTGGCAGATGACAGCTATAAAGTACCGGAATTCTATATCAGCATCGATGGGAAGAGCAACTTTTTGCGAGAATACTCGTCCATCCCTGAAACATATTTATAGATATTAATTTCATGAAACAATGCGTCCCTATATTCCTATAGAAGTCTGTGATATCAGTAAGTGCATTTCCGTTTCACACTTGTACTTACTCTTCTTTCTCATCATCAAATGCACTGTCAGCTGCATTGTCCTGCCCGTCTTCGGTATAAAATTCACCACTACTATTACTGTTATCGAACACTATAGGAGACTCTCTCCGACTGCTGTGCTCCTGAGACATCAGGATGGCCTGGTTATGATTCCAGGCTCCCAGCTCAGGCAAGTTCCCAACCACATAAACGACTTCATTTTTCTCCAGATGAGACATCTTTGAATGTGAAACAAACGTAGTAAATATATGTAAATATATGTTGAATTCGCTTCTTTTATTAAAAATATATAAAACATCTCTTCAAGCATATCTGCAAAAATGTCGTTTTATAAATTACCTGGACTCTAAAAAGCCAATCTCTTTTCGACTCTTTCATGTTGAAAGTTTGTGCGGCTGCCACTTCGATTATATTGAACTTGCGTGGTACTTGTTCTTGTTGGATACCCTCCTTGTTTTCCTCCTCTGAGAGCAGAATTTACTGTGTATTAATAATGTATTAATAATGTTCCCCTATTATCAAAATTTTACATTTAAATTTTTATTTATTTCAAGATACAACAAGTAGAATATTTAATTATATGTGCAATATACTTCTGTACATTGAAGCAACAAACAGCATACATAGAACAAAGAAGAGGAAAGAAAATCAATATTTCTAGGAATTATTTTAATTTTTTTATTTCAGGCTGCTTGCTAGTATGTGAACAATGTGTATACAACTGAGAATAATCACTCTATGATGCAAGCCTCTTCAGGATTACTGTATCATGTTTCACTATTTGCTGTGTCGAGTCTGGACGATTTACAAATTATTCAACTGGTGCAACAGAATTTGCACACTTGTGATGCAAATGATCAAGGAAAATGCATAATTTAATAATTCCATAAAATTTCTTGCAATTCCATCCAATAACATCCTCTAAATTGTATATTGCATTTTGCAGAATCATCGATGATATTACATAAACATTAATCCTTCATCCTCTAAAATATATATATATATATATAAATTCGGTACGACAATAATTCCAGATGTTACAACAAAAGACGATTACTCATGATATCATTTATCCGATGATGAACCGATATTCCCCTGAACCACCGTCGTGATTTCTAAAATGTCATTCGTGGGAAAAGCCCGGAATAAGATTCGCATAGTCGCAAGCGCACTTGATCCTCCGTGAAAGCCGGGGGCAAAAGTCAATGACACAATATCCTCACATCGACATGGCCACGATATGGTATCGTTTTCGCAACACGATAATTATCGCACGATCGCCATGCCGGCGGGGACCGCCGTAGACGTGTCACGACATTTTGCGGCATACGTCAACAGCGTGGAAGCACAAAGAAAAGGACGACTCGATCGCGCGCGATCGCGGAGAAAGTCGCGCATGGGAGCGTGACAAATTAATGGAGAGCGATTGAAGAAACATCGGCCATAAGTATGCGTGCGTGTGTGCCCACGTCCGTTTCCTTTCACGAGCCATGGGAATGCGCGTTCTTCAGCATGGTTCTTCGTGGCCTACAATGACGGGCAAAGTTCTGCTGTCGGAGAGCGACGGCATACGGCGGAGCTCGCGACGCCTATCGAATACCGTTCGTCAACGTGTAACCCTACAAATCAAGATGGATAATCGACGGAGCCGACCTTGTTGCCAGGCCTCGAATTTCGCAGGCAGAAAGAGAAAAACTACTCTCGGTCACCACCGCGTGAGTTTCCGACGGGCATCCCTGAGCGAGAGTTTCAAGAAAGTCGACGGCCACTGTGTCGTCTCGAGCGATCGAGCGGAGTGTTTCGTCCACGGCGCTTTGTTCTAGCGACCCGCGTCCGGTCGTGTCGCCAGGACGAAGCCTACTTACTTGGAAGAGCACCGACGGCTCTGTTGTTAGAATCCGTCCCTCGACTGTCCTTCACTCGCACCTCTCCCGCCGTCTTCGTCGAGTTGTCGCGAAGCGACTCGCGTTACTTGACGAATGCTCGCGGTAAACGTTCCGCGTTCTTCATGAGCCTCGACATAATCGCGATCGCAGTTCTCGCCTCGATGCACCACAAAAACACGCCACTACACGACGCGCTGGTACAAAAGTGCGCGACGATAGAGAACGGAACACGACACGACGCATCCACGATCGACGTTCTTACGTGGACTGACGATGGAGGAACGTGCGCGAAAGTTGATCGTCGTCAGCACCGTCAGAGGGACGAGTCTGCTTTTTCACTGCGAGTTCTTCTACAGTTAAGTTCTTCTTGTACATTCTCATGCCGAGAGTACCGTCCTATCTTTCTTCAGCGAGTGACGAGCGATAAAGGCAGAATGATACTTTCAGCACCAAAGTGTATAAGCAAACTTAGCCTATAAGCTACCCCTGAAACACGTGACCCGCGCGACGGCCAATCAACCTTGCGCTTTCCCGAAAGTAACGCCTCTCATCGACGCGTGTGGCGTTCCAATCGCGGCTCTCGAAAATTCGAATTCAAATCTGCCTCGATAGAGTATCGATTTCGAGCTTGACAGTCGATTTCGCTGAAATATCGATCTTGAGATTTTCTAACCTCGATTTTTCTAGATCAAGAACTAGGCGTTCGACTGGACGCGCGCAGGAGAAAACGCAGCGAATTCAAACGAGACGAGGACTGAAATTACATTCCCCGGACGAGACGACGACGAGCGACGCGGAGCACATCCTTTCGACGTCATTGTCGCAATCCTGTCGAGACTTGCGTGTGACCGACCACTTGCGCCAGCCACGCGCGTAAGTTTTTTTTAATTCATCCAATTGTTGCGGACGCGAAAAGAATTCCGCGCCAATTGAGCGAAATGATCGCGACGGAAACGGTTGAGGACACTTCGAAGTTACTCGATTACAGGCCGGTTAAGAAACGAACGCTCGACAGGAAAGCATTCGTTAAAGAAAAACCGCGCGTGTCAAGTGACAGGGGGAAGTCCTGACAAGAGCGTACTCGTTCGAGCAGGAAAATGATGGCCGACTAAAACGATGAAACAAGCGGTCAAGGTCACGCGAGCTTCCGCGTGCTAACGTTGTATACAATTATTTCGCGCATGCCACTCGGTATCGCCACTCGAGTGGCATCGCGCGAAAATATCGAAGGGAGGAAGACTCGCTCCGACCGGAAGAGATAAGGATCGCTCGGACGTTTCCTGAGAAAATAGAGCCGCGTATTTTTCCCGGTGACGCTCGCCTGCAAGTTTCGACTGAGCGTCTGTGTTGTCGCTTTGAATTCGCCGGAATTCGCGCGATCCGAACATTCACAATCCAAGCATTCGCTGTGCGCTTTTTCCCGTTTCCGACGAGAACAACACTCGTGTGTGCGTGCGTGAGCACACACGCACACATAGATACTGCGTTGTGACGATAATAAGCAATCGAAACGAGCGATTGCTCGTCGAATCATCTTCCGGTCAGCTGGCATATATTTGCGATGCAAATAAAATTGAAGTACGTCGAGTATCGCGTGGCAGGCGCACAGAAAGGAATATTGAACCACGGTTCATTCATTGTGCATTATACATAATGCCCCGCGAACTCGAGTCTACGGACGGATCCGCGACGGATCGGTCCGGGTCGCGAAAACCCCGGAAGCCGTCGCCGAGGATTAAATCGCGCCTATGTAACTGCGAACTCGTGATCGACGCTGAAGGATACGTATATCGCGTTACCAGCGGCTTGAACTGAAGAAGCGAGATTCGTTACGCGGGGTGAATTTTTCTCGGAGATATTAACATTCGTTAATGTCACCGAGAAAGTTAATATTGATTAATAATATTGAAAAAATATTGCGGTAGCTTAGCCGGCTAGGATATATTCATACCGAACGAAACATTTGAGGGCAAAATAAGAAACTCACGTACGATCATTTTCGTGTTGCAAAGCTGAAAGCATATCCGAGACTGTTAGCTAACTGGTGTGCTACGTAAATTAAAATAAAATGTTGAATGAAATGTTCTCCGCGAGTTGAGGCGAGAGGGATTCGTACGGGAAGATTTCCGCGGAAGAATTCCAGCGAATTCTCCCATCAATCTCAGGAATCTGCGGCTTCGGAGGGAAGACCTTCGGCTAAAAATTCTATTGGCGGTTTCTCCGGGAATTCCGCGTGACGATCGCTTGGAATCACCTTTGCTCTTTGATTCGGATGAGAGCTTTGCTTGCAAACGCGTTAACAACAAGCAACGCTAGTTGCTAACGTAACGATATTCTAGACTGAAATTCCCCGTACGGCATCGAAATATCCGCAGGACCTCCCGGCTCACCATATGCACGCCATGTGCACATCCTTTCATCGTTTCACACGTTTCGATCTCGAAATCTGTGAATTTGCGCAATATATTCAGATGTTCGATTGATATCCAAGAATATCCGGTGGATACTTATATTTTATGGGCGTTGATACGGGCGATAAAACCTTTCCGAAATATTTACGACTTTACGATTGAGAGGGGAATTACATGCGGTGCAGACCGTTTTCAAGACTATTTTTACGAATTTTTTTCACAGAAACGGTAGGATCGATGGACTTGAAATTTTCACAGTGTATTCGTTAATGTTTAAAGTATAAAATAAATTTGTTGCTATCTGTATGGAAGGTACACATAAAACTTTAAACGCATTTATCTGGAAACACCGTTTTCTTAAATTGTCGACACGATTACGCAAAAACTACTGAACTGAATAACTTGAAATTTTTAGACAATATACAGTAGACATGTAGTTTTCGCCCCTACCTCGAACACAGTTATATTTTATTTTATTCATTTTTTTATTCATGATTACAAACTGAAAAAAGTTTCATTTTCGTTACTTTTTTTTTGTACAGTCATTATTTTTCCAAACTTGGCTTTACTATCTTCATTTTCGCACGAGCTATAATAATAATCGTATATTTTAAAAATCTTCCTCATCTTTTGGTTTCAAAGTAGTGAGAGGCCTGGAATTATGATGACGGCAAACATAGAGCTCACAAGCGGATGACTGCATTTTTATCTATAATTACAAATTCGATCGGTTCTTGTGATTCAATAAAATTTATTTTATACTTTGAACATTGATGAATACACTATGAAAATTTCAAGTCTATTGATCCTACCGTTTCTGTTAAAAAAATTCGTAAAAATAGCCTTAAAAACGGCCTTCCGCATGTAATTTCTCCCTTAATATCTGCCTAATATTTACGGCTTTTCTGTTTATCAGTGATTACATCGAAAACTCGTATCGGGTTAAGGTCGTATCGGGAGCGATGTCGATAAATTGTCCTTTCGGCGATGTTCCAATAGTTGCAATTAATTTCCGTACCGCTGTCGCTTTAAAGGCAGCGAACAGCAAATTTACATTATATATTGCCTAATAATATTTGCCATTGGGATATTACGTTAGATTCGCATCAAATGCTATCGAATGTAATCGTCGCGGCTGCGGGCGCGACGGAATCGTGTTTTCCGCGATCGAGTTTCACGTCGCAAACACTTCAGATATCATTTTGAGAGAACGAGATGATACAACGGACGTGCTGTGCGTCTTCGAGGTATTAAAACGTCTGAACAGCCGTGGCAGCGGCTATAAAACGTATAAGTGAAACGTTTCGTCTCGTCATCATAGCGAGAGATGTTCTTCGCAAGATCATCGTTTTCGTGATTATTTAATTCTTGGTGATTCCAATTCTTGTTTCTCGTCTAATCGCTCGTTCCTCAAAATGCCCGATAAGGGTGAAATTAATCCTTAAGGGATCTTAAAAAATCCTTAAGAAGTCTTAAAAAATCTTTCAAGGGACCTTTAAAAAATACCTGAGAAGAAGCATCTGAAGGAATGCAGAGAGGACAGATAATTAAATAGTTGACCATAGAAATTTTTACGGTATTCTTTTACCTTTTACTTAAGGAAGGAAAGCCTATTGTCTTCCTATGCTTTAACGGTGATTGTTTTGTTATTTTAGTAGCCATTGATAACACGAGGAAGAAGCAAGTTTTGTGATTCAAAATTTTCTACGCCACGATGTGAGCGAAATAATCGCGAAGATCGCATGGGTCAATGTCGAAATCAATCGACGTTGATGAGACTGATCGTGCAGCGCTGGTCTATTCTAATAAAAATTTTATTAAAGTCTCGCGAGGAGGGGGGAACTAATTAAAGAACGAAGAGTCGGCGGTGCTTGGATCGCATGCAACCCGGAGGGGCCATCCATGTTCCCGTTTTACTCTCGCTTCGTGCATTTAACTCCGTTTGCCATCGGAAATACGGAAACTTTGGCAAATTTCCGCGTGATTTACATATATACACACAAACGCACGCACACACACACACACACACACACACACACACACACACACACACACACACACACTCCATTCGCTATTTATACAAATTAGTAAAGAGCACTAAAATTCTGCGATGTTGCTGACGCTGCTTGTTTCATCAGCGATGCCGCCGCGACGTGAAAAACACACGTTCTTTGTTCACGTCGTGCTATCTACTCGAGCGCGCATGCATAATTGTATTTTGTATACATGGTCACGTGTTCGGTGTAAAAATTATATTTATGCGAGCGCGAACGTGACATTCCGCGATGATCCGCCGCATCGCGCGTCTGATTTGGCACTTTTGCGTGCGCGGTCCGATGCGTCGAGACAAAGTTATCTCTCCTTCGAGCGCACTCGGTCTCGATTAATCGCGAATTCGATTTATGTCCGAGGCACGAATTTCGCGAAAAACTTCTCGCAATTTCTCGAGAGAGATTAGAAGCACGAACCGGGACGACGGGGCAAATATCAGTCGGCAAAATTGTCTCTCACTCATTATCATAATCACACGTTTCGATGATATCACGAATAATTTGCATCGCGAAATTTCAGCGCGTAACGGCTCGCGGTTGAAAATTACAGTCCTCCGTCTCGACGCGCGCGCTTTTCTTCCGCACGTTATTTCTTTTTTTTTTCATTTTTTTTCTTTTTTCTCTAGATTTTGTAATTTGTCCGAAGGTCTTGCTGATTGTGCCCAACCTTTCTCTTTTTGCGCCACATCGTTTTACCGACCTCGGAATACATAATCATTATACAGGAATTTACAGTCCGCTGTGAAAGTTCGCGCTGCCTTGTGCAAGAAAACTTTGAGCGATAAAAATTACTTCTCCCTTTTTCGCGTCGCCAACTACACCGCTAAACTAATAAGCAATCATTTCACCGTTAGGTACGGAATTAAAAGAGGCTTTCACTATGGGAGAAAAAACGGTAAAGATGACTCCACACAATGAAAAGAAAAGTTAACTACTCAGTTACTTGTTTCCTCTGGATTCCTTTACATATTTTTTCAGGTATCTCTCTGGGGATTGGTTATACCCTTTATTGGGCATTCTATAGAACGAGTGATTAGATGGAAAATGAGGTAAACTGACAAAAGGGAGCCTGAGATGAAAAGGATACTGCAGATTGCTAAAGCGTCGTTATCGCGGCTGTCAGATGACGCACGGTTGGAAAAGTTGTTTGCGACGATCAGCTGCGGACTATTTTCCCGTGGTCGCCACGCTGGTGCAAAGTCCACCGACCGAGAAATTCGCTGCTTCTTGAACATCTTAGTCGCGGCGCGTTAAATTGCTTACTCAAAAGACACCGGCGTGGCGACCTGTAGCGAACGCTCTTATTTAACCGCGCTTCCGATTATGTTACCTCAATTTTCAGCGGATTCTACCTTCCTAATTTTAGCTCGAGAATTAAACGAAGAAAGAGAAAAAGAAAGAGAAAAAGAAAGAAAGAGGGGGAGAGAGAGAGAGAGAGAGAGAGAGAGAGAGAGAGAGAGAGAGAGAGATCCTGAAAAAGTAACTTCGCTCAGAGAATCCAAAGAGAATCCAGATCCGTTTGCTGTTGAAAGAGGTGGTATAGACACTTCGCGACCGAGTCGGTATAAATATCATTTTAAAAGAAGATAACTCCCTCGACGGGGAGAGAACGGAGATACGAGGGGTCTTTAAATTTAATTTCAACGTCGCGCTTGCAACGGCTCCGCTGATGGATATTCTCGCCGATAGCGATATTATTTTATACGCACGGGTACCGTTCGCGCGTTGGGTTAATTATAGACGAATTATCGGTTAAAAATAAGAGAAAGACGAGAAATATATACCGCACGATCGTTGTTATGTAACAACACCGGTAACAAAAGCACAAATTGTCGGCCGCAAAGTATCGTTAACGTCTCCTCCGGAGCGTTCGTTTCTCTCGCGCGTCGATATACACCGCACCGCAAGATCCCAGCTCGCGATCCCAGGTATCGCGAGGTACCTGTCCGCGATCTCTCCTCTCGCTTACCTATGGAAATGATCCCGACACGTGCTAACTTCCTCCGGCAGGTTGCATTGCGCACGAGACCTCGACACTATCGATCATCGTTGTCCTTCGATCGCACACCGGCGAACTAGTTTCTCTCTTCTCTTGCAATTCCTTCTTCTCTCCTCTCGTTTCTTCTCGTTCTTCCTCTCTTCCAGCAGACGACTCGGATCGGACCGGTCCGTTCCAGTTAACCGGATCTATTTCCGGGCTGGAATCGCGAACAAGCGGGCAAAAGAAATCGATCGAACGTACGTTCCGACGCGCGCGGACGCTCGAGTGCTACTAGCTTCGCTCGCTCGCTCGCTCGTTCATCCGCTCGTGCTCGCGTTACGCAAATGCTCTACCAGCAACGCTTTCCACTTCCCTTCCACTTCTCTTCGGCTACCCGTCATATGCGTGCGAACGGCTACGTCAAAGTGCAGGAATAAGTCGCAATGCCCTGCACGCAGGGGGATGCCCGCGCGTATCGACGTTTGTCGCCAAACGTCACGAACGACGCATCGCTTATTTGCATAGCGACGTTACGTTGTTCAAACAAAGAAAGAAAGAAAGAGAGAGAGAGAGAGAGAGAGAGAGAGAGAGAGAGTGTGCGTGCGTATTGTTGTATCTCTGTCGTGATATCGAAACGCAAATGTTGCAAACATGGATGGTGCCGCAATACAAAAAGTCTTCTTTCGCCTGACGTCTGCTCGATTAACGTTCTTCTCAACCGAAATATTACTTAATCGGTGTGATTGATACGGTTCATGGAAGTGATTAGATGTAGAAATAATTAACATTCTTCTAAATACTGATCGTCCGCTCGATACGAATTTCCACTCAACCTCGTGGTTTTCGCACAGACGAAGAGATTTCGGTTCGCGTGAATGAATAGAGATTGAGCGAGATTTCAATAAGAAGAAAACACCTGGCTGTGTTAAAATTCAATTGCGATAAACTGGAAACAGTTAACTGATTAGAAATCTGCTGCAAGAGTCTTTCTGTTCCTGTATCCGTTTTCTTCATTTAGTCTCTGTTCTTCTTCTTGACGGAACGACGGAAAATTCAGTTGTACTAACGGAAAGATTTTACTTTCAGTTACTGACATTGAGCGAGAAAAGTACTGTATCGGAAAACAATATTCTAATACCGATAGCGTCGCGGTATCTCCGGCGATATCTCCGGAACACACATAACTAGCGATCTTACATAATGATCTTACATAATGCTCTTCTGCAGGAAAAAATATGTCAATGTCACTGAATGGAAACCGGTCTCATAACTCAAACGATATCACTATCGCAGGAACCGGAAGCATTTGTTTGAATCTTTGACCGATTTAAATCTTCACTGAGATAACTGAAAACAGTCGGCTGAATAAATACATTCTCGGTGAATCTTTCTGTCCCTATGTCCGAGTTTTTGTTTGATTCCTAGGTAACAGAAAGGGAGTTTCATTTTGTGTGAACTGAATGGAGACCAGACGAGGATTCAATGACGAGAAAAGATGTCTCTGCTATTGTGACCGAAACAATACGTCTCGGGTATTTAAAACACCACTAACATAATTGAAAATAATTGACCGAACAGACATCTTTTACAGAAATTTTCCTCCGAGTCCTCGTTTGGTCCCCAGGCAACAAAAAATTAGTTACACTGTTGCACTAAAATTAGTTACGCGAGCCGAATATTTTTTTCTGTACACGTCTAAAAACATCGCGCATTCCTCTCGCTTCGGCTTCTAATATCTATCGATGGGATTAAACCGGTAATTCCGCGAGATCCCATTGTGTGCAGTTCGCGTGTACGTAGATATCTTCCTAGTTATCGTGGTCTCTACGACGATGTGTTTGCGACAACACGTTGCAACAGCGGTTATCACGGAAAAAATCCAGCACTCTGTCGACACCTTCATCTCCTCTTTACGCATTTGGCTCGCAGTCGCGATAAGTGCTGATACTAACAGCGCTTATAGCGTATTACAATGGATGGCCATTTAAGCCGTGCATTTTTCTCGACGGTTACGAAATCGCTACCTTCCCCGTTGCTTTCTAAAGTTCGCTTTCTGAAGATGCGCAGAGATAAGATAACGCGAGTCAATCGCCGCTTTTCTAATCTAATTGGTATCATTGACATTCAGACATCAGCCGTGTCGGAAAATAATGAGCTCACTTCGTTCCCGGATACGCGCGACTAGAGGAGTAAACAAGGATTTATCTCGTCAAAAACAGCGGAGGTCACAAGCGAGCGTGTACATTCATTTAATTAGTTTGCGATTCAGTATATGTACCGTGTCACTGTTCTTTTTCTTTGTCCGTCGAGAGAGAAAAACTCAGAGATAATATTGAATTATTGTCTCGAGAAGCCACAGAGAGATAATTTGTGTTGCTATTGTTGAACATAGCAGATGGTTACATTATAACAATCCTGGAATATGACTGTACCTTAAGTATCACCGACTTAATTACTTCTAAAGAATAGCTACAAGCAGAAATACCGCAAATTAAAATATAAAATACAGTACATTCAATATTGAATATAGAGAGAGAGAGAATATAAAATAATCCTCGCGAGAAATGTCCCTGGAAAGAACTTATTCAATAACGTAAAAAATGTCGTGAAGATACAGTTCCACAATTAATCATGCATAATTTGACACGTGTCGATAGCAGCGAATAACTGACAGATCCCTAGAAGTCGATAAAGAAACTGCTTATCGCATTTATTTGGTAGACTCGTGGGAGGGAAAAAGCACGTGCTGATTCAGTCAGATTATTCCTCATCACGTGCGATTCAGAACGATGTATTTATTTCGCGGCGTCAGACTTATGCTATGGATTTTTGATCGGTGTCAGGCAAATTCGAGACGAATGCCGTCGTTTGTTAAAACATGCGCCATGGCGAGTCGGAATTTTATAAAAATAGATTCGCTATGTTAGACTTTTTCGTTCCTAGTTCCCGACTATTAATGTCCAGTCGTCTTTCGATTCATTTCTTCATCAATGTTCAATCTTTATCGAAAATTTCTGTTCGCGCTCGCAAAATTAATCGGAGCAGAATTTTGTTACATGTTTATCTCCTTTTAATCTTAACTTTTTGCTAACTCATCGAATCCCCAACTGAGCTGATTGAACGTGCGCTTAAATATCCAAGAAGAAGCAGATACGAGAATTCTTTCCTCGAGCGTAATATCCTGTTCTTCTTATCGACGTTTTACACATTTTTTCAAAGCGGCTTATGTAAGAGCAGGTCTTATTTTTTAACCCAAGTTCCGTCTGGTCTCTCGTCGCATCTCAAGCAGAAAAATTCAGAGCGATATCGGTGTTAATAACTCATTACAAATAAGATAACAGTTTTCAAGGCCGGAGCAAAGAAATTAGCCGGCAGGAGGGCAGACGACGAACGAACGTTAGCGTGTCGAAACGCAACGTCGTCTGCTGAATTCGCTTGGACGGCCGAACCGCGGAAGGAAGTGATTATGCGATTGTGTTGACAGGACGACTGACAGGAAGTCGGATTAGAATTTAATGAATAATAGCATGTTTGATATCAAACGTGAATTCAAGGAATTATTAACGGAGGATATACGAACTTTTACTCTCAATCTTCAGTAATTTGTCGCACTTTCTCGCGATTTGATCTGACCTGATTCTTCAGAATCGTAATTAATTAAATGTGCCTTAGTATATACATCACGAAGAAAAGCAGATCGCAAGCTAGCGAGGAGGATGATAGTCAAGTAAATCAGACCGTGAGATCAACATGTTACCTTTAATTCGCACGCAGAGATTTCGCACACTTGAAATTTCTCACCCGAGAAAACTTTCAAGCACGCGTATACAAAAGTGCTGAATATTTTCATTAATTGTTGAATATGCCATTGTTAATTCGCGCGGCCCGTTGCTAACAACGGTTCGCTCTGACGATTTATTTGGCCCAGTCTCAGGTACAATTTTTCCTACGCGATGCGTCGGAGAATGCGATGTGCCAACAGTAACATCCAATACTTGAAACGATTCTTTTTTTTTTTGCAAAAATCACGTTAAATATCGATTTGCATTGAAGGGGTATCAGTTCTGTCGAGCTCTGCTGTTTTAATATTAATATCGGTCGTTGTAAAGTGCGATTCTCCTTCCCGGGCATATTCTACACTATTATATCGGAATACAAAAATACCTCCGTATTTATAAAAAAATAATTTCCTCGCACGATCCTCTTCGTAATAATCGAGGAGCACAATTCCGAGCAAACGGAGGAGTGAGAGGCATGCGCCGCAAATGGTGGGGGCAGAATGCAAAGAACAACCAAGTCACTTCGGAAGCGTGCTCTTTGATTATCTTTGCAACGCGACTTAATCTCTCTCATAAATATGCGGTGTCCCCGACTAACCGCATTTCCGCGAGGAAATGCGAATCTTTATGCACGAGTGCTGATCGTTGGTGATTTTAACTCGTCCAATTGTGTCACATAACAATATTAAATTTCGAGATCCCTTTGAATTCGAACTAATCTCGCCAACGAAGGCGTGATTCGTCGGAGGCACCGTATATATCTCGAACCAAAATATCAGCATGTGATGTGTACACGCAATACGTAACGCTGAAAGCACGAGATCGCTTCGCGCGTTGCGTCAATAATATCACGTGCTTCTTGGCATTGTCGATAAACTATCGTAGGTTGCTCTATCACGCTACCACAGATACACTAAGCCATACTTACTCGTAATAAATTTGTATGTACAACATAATCGTAAACTTGTCAAGAAGAAAAAAAGAAAAATAGGAAGCGACGATATTTAGCGTTGAGTGTGCGGCGAAAATACGGGCCATCAAATTGAATGATTGCAACTTGCAAGGTAAAGAGAAATAAAGGAAGGTCCACGCGAGTAGTCGAAGCAGTAAAAGGAACGGAGAAAGTATACGAACGCACATTTCTCTTTCTGTTCTTTTCTTTTCAATCTCTCGCGAATGTATATTTCTTTCCCGAACTCTGAATTTTTCCGAGTAAAGCAGAAGTGCAGAATTCTTGAGCGATTGTACGTTAACGAAAGAAAGATGTGACAGAACTTGAAATGTGCGGATCAATCCCTGGGACGTCAACGGCTTACAAGTAAATTTTCTTCAATCTGTCACTCACTTCTCCTATTCCCCGCGGAGTCACTGTCGTAAAGTCGCTCCGCAATAAAGCGAAACCTCCCCCGTGTATTAACCGTTATAAAGAAATAAAGCGAGCTTTCGTATCGTAAAGGCGCGTCGTGGCTGGCACGGTCTCTTTATTGCCTGTGAATCAGTTGTAATAAACGAGCGAATTACGAAGCGCCAGCGTAAATCCCGTCGTCTCTCATTGCAGTAGGTTCGAAGAATGTCATAGCTTATCTCGCATCATGCCATTGTTATCAGCGCGATCGATATCGCTAACAGGAGTATGTGCGCGCGTTTGTTGACGACAAAGCTTTTCGCTCCGTCTTCGTATATATTTTAATAATTGTTCTATCGCATTTTGACGATAATTAAACTACAAAGCTGCAATTACTTTGTGCCCCGTTAAATCTCCCCGGGATAAACCGCTTCGATTAATGAAATACAACGTCAAAAATAAATTCACGTTAATTGGAATATCGCGATATAATTTAACGAACCGTTTTGTTTGTTGAGTTTTCATTATTATTACTCCGTAATTTAAATACGGTGACCACGATAGAAAATATTATGTATGTTTTCTCTTTTCCTTGAAAGTGGAGCCGAACTTTAAATAAATCTTATCTCACTTACAACGACGCGGTGGAATATTTTCAAATTCGCTGAGGAATTCTCTCAAGGAGTCACTCAAGCCTTCTATCGTGCATTTCCATGTTATCATATCTTAATCTACAATTCGGTGGTAGCAACACCCCAATACTGCTGCATCCTCGTGGCGTCCTGCTCCAACGAATCCATGCCACTTCGCTCTTGAATGACGGCGAAGTCGTACTCGAGATTGTACGGCATCAGCCTCTGAAGACTGCCGAAGTACGCAGCGTTTGGTCCACCATTCAACAATCTTCGTCCGCTGCCAAAGCGAACGACCGGCGGCCGCGGCAGCGAAGGGTTGAAGGACCTGGCGCTGCCGAACTTTTTCGACAGAAAAGGCAAATTGCCGCCTAATTGCGGCGTCGATCTCGACTGGCCTCGGTGTAACGGTGCCTTCGTCAATGTGTCCAACTCCTTGTCGAACAGCAGTTGGGTATTCTGCTCAAGCATATACTCCCAACAGCGAAACTGCTCCTCGCTGAGAGCGCCCGATCTTTCCGACACGGCGTCCTCCTGCGTGGGCAGGCAGGGAGTTACCTGGAAAATTAAGATAGTCTGTAGAAATAACACAATGGGAACTTCGTATACTGCTTTCAGCAGGAGCTGCTTGATCCTTCTTGATTAACCTTTGGAAGATTAACACGTGAGAGCCAAAAGTTGAGGGAGAATGAAACTCCACTTTCTGGCATGCTATAATATACTGTGTGAACGATAGAAGAATTATTCTGGCAATCTTGCTTCAAAAAACATCTTATAAGAGCTGTTAATGTCTCACGTATCCTTATAACTGTAGCTAACAACATTATTTACGCATCAAGAAATCATCGTAACAACGCTGCTATGTTGATTGAAAGAAAAAACGAAATGTAATCTTAAAAACACAATTAATTGAGTAATGCTGACTCTTATTTTACGATTCTAATTGTTCACGTCAGAGCGTAAAAATATCATGTTACTTTTCTCGTGCCATTCTCTTGCATGAGAACGCTCTGATGCGCCTTGCTCGTCGCTCGGGAAGCCGCACTTGCGGACCACATCCTTCCCGACGGGTGACGAGATTTGAACGTGCTGTCGCTGGCTTGGTCGGACTGGCCACTCGGCGAGCTGCGATCATCTCTATACGGAGGACTTTCATTCTCCTGCGTCGGTCTCGAATTCTTGAAGTACCTTCCGGAACCACTGTGAACCTTGTTGGATCTGCGAAAAATGTTGCGCAAAGGAAATTAATTTTTTTAAATATATCTTGAATATCATCGAAAGAAAGTACATTATTACAATTATATAGCAATTGCAATGAGTTATAATTGATCACAATTGCATTTCCAAATAAGTGGAATATTTCGTACGAATTTCAAATGTTGTCCGACTTATGCGTCGCACTTTATCTGCGTTGAACTTTATCTTTTCCTACCTGCTCACTATATTCTTCAACACGCCATTAAGATAATAGCCTTCGCTCGCGTGACAACAGCAGGCCCCCGGCGGTTTGTGCACCGCTGCCGGCACGCAACAAGGACAAGGACACACGCCATCGGTTTGGCCTCTGTTCTTGCCGACCGCGTGCCTGAGTTCTCGCATAAGTTGATCCATGTCGCCCGGACTGGGTCCGGCCAATCTGACGACGACGATGCTCAGGTTGTCTTCCGCACCGTAAGCCTGTGCTAAGTCCTGAAGCCTCTTGGCTGCTAGGACAGGACTAGCCTCGGCTCTGGCTTCCCTCACGGCCTCTTGGACGTTCAGAACTTCCCACAACCTTCGATTGGCGACTATGACGAACTCGTCATCGTCTTCGAGAATCACTTCCTCGAACACTGGATCAGGAACCACCAGTGGGAACATAGCGGCGTTACCTAATTGATTCTTGACCGATTGAGATTTCTTGGGTGACGCGAGAGTCAAAGGGCCAGCAGCTCTGCATAAAACAGCCTTAGCATCGCCGGAGGACGCCACTTTTAGGGAGTACCTGGTCGAGGATTTCGGATATCCCTGTTGCGACGGTAATTTCATCACATGCACCAGAGTTGCGTCTATACCGTATTTTTGCCCCTTCTCTTTTAGCTCTCTATGCGCCGATAACAAGGTATACTTTAGATATTCTTTTGACGTCTCCCTGACTGTGCGCTCCTCCAATAGAAGACGGGGAATCATCTCTTGAAGAGCGCTAGGTGCTTCTTGATTGGAGCCGCCGTCGAATATGCCGAACAGACCTTCCACGTTGCAGAAAGATGGCATTCTTACTTGGGAGATGTATAGCCTGCAGTAAAACAAAGGAAAGAAAAACATGAAACGAAGAGGAAAATTCTTTAGAAATAGAGGAATGATCATTAGCTTTGATCATTAGCTTCTAGTTTCAACCATTAGAACTCTAATATTCTTTAAAAGGAGCTTTTCGTTATTATCTAATCTTCTATTCGTCTATTTTTAAAAGATACAGCTTTGTACTCTTACTTCTCGCGTGAGCCGGCAGTTTCTGAAAAGCCTAATCGCCAAGGTTGCTCGTTATTCTTTTCTGCTGCGACGATTTCTTGCTGATGCGGATGGGACGGTAGACTAGGCCTGTTTTGTCCAGACACATCCACCAAAGATATGGGCCTTTGTGATCTGTATACTTGAAACTGTCGGGGATCCACGTGCAATCGTGAGTTACAAGATATGTCGAGAAACTGAAGCTGCGGTGGCACCAAGGTAGCCAGATTTACTCTGTCTAATTGGTTGTGTGCTAAATCCAGCACCTAAGCAAATTGAATCTTTATAGATATGTATTATTTTTATCGTCGGTGTGATACATTTAATTACATACACTAAACATACTTTTATAATTTGTGTAATAAGATAATTATATAAAATTGTTTCTTATCCTGTAAATATATTTATACAAAATATATTAGAAAAAAGAACTACTATTTTCGTATTTTTTAAGTCAACCTTATATGAAAAGACATCTTTAGGAAGAAAGATGTCTTTCTTCAAGACCAGTCTTTTTTAAAGGCATTTTTTATAAATAATTTTAATATATATTCTTCTGCTTAAATAAGCTGAGGATTCAATGATCTGGAATTTGGACTGTCATTACGAGTCTTCCTTACACAAATCGCTTCGACAAATCGCAAATTTATACGTGCGTATGCTAGAGTCTCACCTTCAAGGATGCCGTTTTGTTGAAAGTGGGACACGTTAAGAGCCGATTAGAATGCACGCGTAGTACGCGCAAGTGTCGCAAATTGGCCACGTTGTCCGGAAGGTACTGCAGCCGGTTGCCGGACAGCACTAATTCTTCCAGATCGCCCCATGCGGCGATACAACTGCAACATTCCGTATTAAATATTCAATAATGTTATTTGAAATGAATACCGTGAGATGAATTGAAAAATACGAAGAGAAATTTGTAATCCACGCTATTTATATAGAATATTAGCGAAATTATCCAATGCAAGTTGAACAAATACTTTACCAAACACAAAAAATATTTCATAATTCATAACATGTAACTGTTACTCACCAATATTTATCGTTTGTTATATTGCATGATAATTGCATGATCATTGTTTCTTTTCATATTCCTTATACGAAAACTACTAGTCTCACCTCTCTGGGAGCGTGTCTAGGGTGTTATAAGCGATATGAAGAACTCTCAAAGACGTGAACTTCGCCAGAGCGTCCAGGGCGGTATCGGTCAGGCAGTTTGCCGTGACGTACAATTTCTCCAAGGTATGCAATCCCTGGTGAGTTCTGCCGGCTTCCTCGCGAAACGGAAGCTCAGAGAGCCGATTGTTGGAGAGATTCAGAACTTTCATCCTGGAAGAAAGCGGACCGTGAGCGAAGTACGAAATACATCGCAGTTTGCAACGATAGCAATGCGATTGGTTTACTCCAAATGTTCGAGCATGATTTGCGAATCGGGAATAGAATTGCATGAGATATATTTGGCGTCTCACTTCTCGGTGTTCGCGAAGAAGCTGGTAGGTAACGTGGTCAGCATATTGCCCTGAAGAGTTAAATGCACGATATTCAGCGGTCTTCTGGGCGGTGGTAGGGCTTGCAATCGATTGTGAGGCAAATGAAGAACTTCCAGTCTCGATGGTTGTGATAATAACCGGTCCGGAAGGGCCGTCAGGGTGTTGTGCGATGCGAAGAGGACACGCAACGCTGGCAATTCGGTCATCCATTCAGGCAGCGCGTCTAAATTGTTGCTGAAGGAATACGAGTTTATTCTATCTAACAAGAAAATTGCGATTGTTCTCTTCTTTCATTTTTATCACGTGATTCGTCACGCGATATTAATAAATTCTGCCACTTTTCTTTTTGCTTTATTTGCGCTGACAAATTGTCAATCTACGTCTAATTCACTTACTAGGAAACGTCCAGATGCTCCAGATTAATTGGCACGGGTTCCACGATTAACTTCTTCAGTTCTGTGAAAATTATACGTTTCATTAGCGTTTTGTCTCAATTCATTAATCGATAGAAAGCGCAGATAACAATCGCGCACAATGCATGTGAAAGACAATACTCACTATTGTTTCCAGCGATGAGTGACACGAGATTTCGGCCGCAAAGAGTTAATTCGGTCAGATGATTTCGTGCGCAGCGGACACTTCTCAGCTCTTGCAAAGCGCTGATGTCCAACTTTTCAATGCTATTTTCGCTGACATCTAGATGCGTCAAGTTCTTTTTTTTTTTACAAACAGAAAAACAAGTAACGAACATTAAGCTGCTGCGCCATATAATTTTTTGTTTTCAATTTTTGTTATTAAATAATAGATTGGAGATAATTTAAAATTATTAGGCGTCACAATCAGCAATTCTCGTAGTAGCTAAACTTACGCCATAATTTCCCAGAATTATGTTTCCCTTCAGTTGATTGTTCCTCAGGTTGATCTTGTGCAAGTTACTATGGCTGGCTTTCTCATCCTTGTAGGACTTGCCGTGATCTCCTTTCGATAAAACTTCCTGCGTGCGTTGTAACATGAAACATATATTAATCATATTGTGCGGAATTGAAAACTCCTAAAAGATTAAAAAATCCAAGAGATAACTTTGACTGTAAAAATTCCACAGGAATCTGAATATTATACCTATAGGTCTCTTATTATATAAAAAAAAACAGATTCATAAATATAAATAATATTAACTAACAAAAGAATATTTATCAATCACGAGAAGTTTTCTCCTTTTCTTAAGGGACAAAATTATTTTCCCTCTAATTAAACGGTTTTACGGACAGCAGTGGTCCGTTATTAAGTGTAGTATCGATTTCGCAGGTTGAAAAGCAGACCCTAAACTGGGCCTGAGGCCTGGCATTGCAAAGCTTCGAAAAATGGCCGTTAGATGTCTGCCGAGCCAACGTGTTTCTCGAGAGAAAATTCCGATGCTCTTCGGTATATAGAGGACCGCCGAAGAAACGTTCGGCACTCTGGTTTCCCTTCAAAACACGCATAAATCTTTCGCCTTTTACTAAAGATTTCCGTGGAGGGGAACAATTAATGAGTCTATAAGACAATTTTTTGTAGAGCCCAGCGTAAAGGCTGGGTCATTGAATAATACAAGATCAAATTTTGCGGAAGAAGAGCTTGGTGGGAGAAGAGTTGCGTTTGAAAATATCCACGTATTACTATCGCAAGTTCTGCTCTGGATATAAGGAAGGCATGATCAGACTTACATAAGTTTTTTAACAACTTTTCATAAGATACGTTGTAAACTTGTCGGTTTATAGAGAGAGATAGTTTATTTTTCGCGCGCGTACATCGAGAAATTTTCCGGAGAGATAAAAACTTATTAAATGTTCTTTGAATCTTTTTGGATCGTAACTGTTAATTAGTGTGTATACAGGATTAAATTTTATTAACTAACTAACTATTTATTAACTAAGAAGAAACTGGGTCAGGTTGGTGCAAAGGTTAACCGGTCATACGTATCGTTCATACATTTTATCGTGAGAAAAATAGCGAGAGAGAGAGAGAGAGAGGAGAATCGCAAAACATTCCTTTTAAAATATTTATATTTCCTACGTTCTAAATGAAATAATGCGCGATTCTTTTTCCACTTCGTTTTTCTCACAATAGATGTATAAACGAAACGTAGCGAACGTGATTCTTCTTCGGTCTATTTGTTTCGGTCCCCTTTTTCCAACCGATATTTCATCTTTCATAACGCAGCAATATCGTATTTATATTTTTTAGAAGTTCAAGTTTTTATTTATGAAAATCAACGAAGACATCGCGGACACACAAAATAGGATCAATTTGTTCAACAAGTGCGACGTTGAGGATTTCCCGGTACTTTGTTCCAATTTAAAAGTCGAGCAGAAGAAGAATATTGCAGAGGCAGATTCCCGGGAACGTACATCGTCAATAATGAAATTAAACACCACGTGTGGGAACGTAGTTGAACTGAATTGTCAAGGAGGGTCAAGGTTGAAACTGAACGGATCGATAAAAACCGCTTAAGTCCCACAGTCGCGACGCTACTGTTGCAGAAATTCTGTTCTGTTCACCTTTAGTCGCGATCCTCGCTACACAATTTACCTGAATACTCTGCTCTGGTACCGTCGATCTATTAATTAATCAAACCACGTGGGACGTATTCGACGTACCGTCAAAGCGAGAGCTCGCATATTGAAGAAGGATGGCGCGATGCTGAGTAGATTTCCGACGAGAGAAATATTTCTCAGATTTCTCAGTCGTGTCACTTCCTCCGGCAGGTCCTTGATGCCATTACGGTCAAGGATCAGCTCTTTCAGGCTGTAACATAACGATGACGTCGTTATGTTCGGTTGGGGAAGATTAAATAGAGATTAAGAGGCGAAGGAATTAACGAAAGTGCGTCGCATGCTGTTCGGGAAGTTGATTTCAGTCAACCGGACCTTTCGTTTCACACGATGGAGAATCTTCATCGCAAGGACTAATTTCAATAATTCGAAGACAAATTCATTCTCGCTCGCGCTCAGAGTCCTGCCGATGTCCTCGGGAAAAATCGCGAATCATCAAAGGCACGACGAGGATAACGAGATTCTCGTGCGAACGTAACGAGGAACTACGGGATTTTAATCGAAACCTGCTGTTCTCTCCTCCTCCCCCCCACCTCACTCTCTCTCTCTCTCTCTCTCCGCGCGCGGCGAAATTTTCGGTCGGTCGTTTCGAACTTTCTCAGCGCGGCGCTGATTAAAATGTTGATAGAAGTGCAATCGGCGTCTCTGCCGAGAAGCAGCTCATCCGCAAAATTGCAATCCACTGCGCACTGCGGCGGTATGTACTTTACAACGCGAATTGTATCCCCGAAGCTACGGACACGCGAGTCGGTGAACCTAAACGGAGCGAGCCGCCCACAGGATGTGCACTTGAGTAGAAAGTTTCGAATTATAGTGAAAACCCCTTCATTGCGGCAAGCATCTGTGTCATCGCGCGGACTTTCGATTTTTGCCACTGGAGCGATCACGCGCGTTTCTGCGCTTCAATTGGCTCGTGTGAGCTCGCAGATCTTCGTTGCGTTATCGCGCGCGCTCCACCTCTTTCACGAGAACGTTCTCCATGAGACCGCTCGTGAAAATCGTCAGCAAATTTTATAATCGCGCGCGCGCGTGCGCGCAGAGACAGTCGTCGCCCGGACGACAATTACCAGACCGTTAACTAAAAGTTCAGCGCGCGAAAGGGCAGAAGGGACGACTATAGTTGCTTCCGGATTTTAAGCGAACGCCGCTGCTGCGGCGAAGAGGTTGTTAGCGATGTTCATTTCGCGAAGCCATTGTCGCCTCATTTTCCAGCGTGCACTCGTTGTTTCTCACCTGCCTCGCCACTTCTTCTCGCTTCTCCTCGGTCGCCGCGCGCTCGCGCTCGCGCTCGCGCTCGCGTGGCGGCGTTTAAGTATCTGGAGTATCCTCCTCGGCACGGCTCCTAGACGATTGTTATCATTGCGCGATATTGCCCGGAGAGCGCTCTCGCGTCAGACGTGCTCCGCGCGCGGAGTCCGTCTCTCCCCTCTTTCGTCGGCCGTCGCGCTGGCCGCAACAATCCGATAATTGGCGTGGCCAATAATTCATCACATATACGCGACACGCGCGCGTGCAGGGATACGTAATTAACGTCGCATTGAACGCCGTCGTCAATTTTCGTCGTGTAACCGGCCGGTGTAATAATTTGTCGGATAAACTCGGCGTGATTCACACAGCGGCGCTGCCTCGTTGCCTCGCTCGCTCTCGACGCTCCGATTCTTCCGAGTCGCACCGTGAAAGTCCAGCCAGGATATCCAGGCTCGTCGAGATCGACATTATGTGTTCGGCCGGTCACCTAACGGCAGGCGAATTTTCCTGTCGCGCACTTCGTCCCAGCGAATTCTCACTGACTCAGACGACGCAAGGTGCGATGGTTCGGGTCGTCCGATTGCAGGGTGAAATTATTACCACGACTCGACTCGAGATTCCTACGGCGAGACGCGGCGAGTCTCGTTTCAAGGATCATCGCGCGATCGCGACGCCGTTGGGGTCTTCGGGGTCTCGAGATCCGCGAAGAGACGCTGCTTCCCGCGAGGCGATTTTCGCCGGAGGTGCACGCTCGCGGCGGCTCTTCCGAGGACTAAAGAGGTCGCTTGAAAGGCGAACTTATTCCTCCCGAGGATAGTGTGTCTTCCACCGAGGGAGGGCAGAAGAGGGAGGCACGACCGAGGATGGGTTGGCTGACCACTCTGATGTAACAGAACAGAAATTGTCTGCCGGTGTACGAAGCGGGACCGAGCGATAATGCGCCGTGGCTCGGCCCGGACATGCACCAGCGACGGCCGACAGTCGGCGAAATCCTCGTTACATATATAACATTATAACCTCGCGCGTGAAATTTCGCCGCACGAGGTCGCGCGACCTTCTCGCCAGGATCTTCCGAAAGGGAGATCCCGAAAACTCGCTCCCGAGGCGTTTCCGAAAATCTCGCGCTCTTCCGCCAGTTACTTCCGCGAATTAGTGCGACATGGCGGTAAAAAAGAGGAGAAACTCGGGGAGAGACTCGTTCCTTCGCGAACACGAGGCCGAAAAATTTCATTGAAGTTTGACTGACGAGTTTTGATTAAGGCGAGCTGGTCGCGCCTGCGAGCTGCATCCTCTCAGATTCCACCTCACTCATTCGGGATTAAGTATCAGCAGTTAACTCGTCCCGAATCTCCGCCATGGCGGTGGTTCGGTGGAACCGTTATTACCGCATAGAGCGCAGCGACGAGCGCGCGGCTCGCGTGAGAGAATTAACTGCGTTATTAGCGAATTAGTGTTCGAACGAAAGGCGAAAGGCGAATTGGATTAGCGACGCGCGGAATTGAGCGTACGAAGAATCGAGTCTTCGTGCGCCGGGCTCAACACCCGCTCGCCCGGCGGATCCTTTGTCTTCGCTATATCCTTTTGTTCCGCGTATCTGGGTCAACGAAGATGCGCTCAGGATGCGCGAGGATGGAAGCTCCTTGCGTTTCTTGCACGTGTCCTGCGAATGCCGAATTCGCGCGATTTCGGTTTTCCACGGGTCCGAGCTCCGCGCTCGACGACGACGCGACGCGACGCGACGCGACGCGTTTTGTCCACGATAATCGTCGAAAGTGAATCGTGCAAAACTGCCTTCAAGAGTGCCGGCTCTACCGCGCTAGGATGGCGTTGGGCAACACCAGGAGTCATACGTCGAGGCAGTGGCGCGAGACGACTCAGGTGGAAACCGGCGCACGCGAGTGTGCGAGAAGCGGCGGAGACGCCCGGCGTGTGCGTATCGGGCTTCGCTGCTTGATCGTCGATCATCGTCGAGCTTGGAGATCTTCCTTTCGATCACGGAGAATGAGAATTCTCGTCCTTATTAATCGTCATTTCTAAATAGAAATCGATGGCATTTTTAGTGGGAAGATAAATGAGTCGAATGAAGGAAATTTCTCTCTTGAAGTTTCAGCCATCTCGTATAAGCCGCTACTGCGTTTGGAAAATAAATAATTTTGCTACCGCTTGCTGTACTTTTAGAATGTCAGAAATTTATCTTTGATATTGCATACATTGCATCACTATAATTAATAACGAAGAGTTTCAACGCGGATCTAAAGAACAACCCAAAAAAGGTATTTTATTTGTAAAGTGATTTTTCCCATAGTCTCATATTCTAAGCGAAGCTTTTTACAGAAAAAGGATTCCTCTTTCGATAAAGCGATTAAAGTGAAGCATTCATCTGACATTTGTTAGATATTATTCTAACTGTTCCTCTTATTTCAAGAGGATTTCCTCTTATATCAATTAATTTTCCTCTTGTACGAAGAGGAATATGTTGATTTGAATGTCGGCTTCTGTTGTTCAGTCACGCTCTACCTCTAGACATGAACGAAAAAATAATCATATGCTCATGAGTCAGAATATTTGGAACGCTTTTTAAAAAAGGTATGTGTGCTGCTGTAACATACAACGAAGATAATTTACTTATATTTGGTCAAATACATCTACATTATAATCTATTGCAAGAAGTCGAATAATATATTCTTTTCTTTAACTACGTTTCACAATTGGTTACGATGAACATCTTTGCAGCTATGAAGTCCGTAACAAAACTGATCGGAAATTTATTTGTTATGGCGATCTTATTTCATTCGTGCTTATTTATCGTAGAACTGCAGCCAGAAGTACATCTGTACATATATATTATTTTTCGTTATACATTATAATAATTCTTTCAAATTAACTAGTAAGAATAACCAGTAAGAATAAATAATAATCCTTTAAAAAAAGGATTAAATAATCCGTGCATAAGAGGAAATTTATATATTAAAATCAATAAAATTCGCATTATACATATAACATATATTAATTTGTCTAACTTTAAGAATAATGTGTTTATAATATTTTCCTCTTAATCTTAGAGGAATCCTCTTGAGGCCAAATATAAGAATAAAATCTACGAAAATTTAAATGATTCCACTTGTTATGAAATTACTTTTTATAGGTGAAGCAGGAAAGACTCGAACAAATAAGTAAGTGAGATTTAATGGGGAGGTAAATGAGCGAAATGAGCGAGACCGAAGTTTTAGTCGCGTTTTCGGGCTACTAACGTACTTAAAAAATATTTTGACCGCAATCCTCAGAATTTTCATCGACTCTCGCCCGACTCATGACGATCGTCGGGACTGAAGTCCGTAAAGAGTCTCGCCCGTAGATTCGCGGGCGGTAAAGTGTGTGTGCGAGAAGCACTTTTACTTCCCGCGTGCTCGCACGCGCGGTGTGTACGAGCGCGTGCAGCGTCGTCGTCGTTGTGTTCACACCCGTAGTTCCTCCTGCCCCCTCCGCTCCAGGGAGCTACGCGGCATCCTCATTTCCGGCCGGTGGAAAGCGGTTTTCGAGAAACTTTTACGTAATCGCCGTTTCGATTGTGCACAGCCGTCTGGCCGCGCGATCGCGAGATTAGATTTTCGCGGTGTCCAAAATCGTGCGTCCGGCAGAGCCGGTCCGGAGCCGGTCGCCGCTTCCGGATGTTCGCGCCTCGGGAATAAATGCAGCGCCGAGTAGCGCGAGGAGGGTGCGGGACCACGTCAAGGACCAGGATGCACTTGTTGAATGTGTCAAGTGGAGAGAGTGCGTGCGGCGCGGAAAGGTACAGCTTCAATTTTGTCGCAATTTGGATTTCGTTTCGGACAGCATTACACACAGATCAGCCATGTTCCTTCCCTCCTTGCGTTCGGGCTCCAAACGGCGAGGCAGGAAAAGGAATGCTTTCCGAGGCGTTTCTCGGGATTAAAAGTAAAATGAGGTTTTATAACCGGGTGAAAGCAATTGCTTCTACTGCCTCGTATATATAACTTCGTCGCTTATAATTCAATTGAAAAGAGTCAAAGATAACTTTCACAGAGGCGCAAGAGGATTAAAAACGTTTTCATTTGGTTTTCATTTGGTTTCATTACACGTTTGTTCTGTCCGATCTCGTCGTTGGACGCTAGAAAATGTTCGCTCTGTCGCGGCTCTTCGATCCGCTATCGACGATCGCGCCCTGTGTTTTTGGGGATACCGGAGAGAGCTAACAGCATTACTCGATCATTATCGTGCGCATTGATTTTCCACACGAGCCCGTTATCAGCGCTGATCGACAATAGCGCGTGATTAATGCGTTGGTAATTAATTGTGCTCCTAGATTGACGCGCATAAATCAGGCGGTATGGAGGGAAAATCCAGCCGCGCGCATTAGTGCATAGTTATCGCCGCGCGATTACTGCACGGGAATAGGAAAATAGATCTCGCGAATGTAAATAAACCCGCGTGTCTGCAGATATATATTATTAATGTTATATATACATATATTATTAGTCACTAAAACCAATTAAATTTAAACCTCGCGCAAAATGAGACATATAGCGATGCTGCGCGATGCGGCACTAAGCGCGCGGCTCGAGCGTGTTGTGTTAATCCTTAATGAAGATTTAATATCGACGAAATTAAAGGAGACCTCCGAGCTATCCGATACTCGGCGACAAGGCGGATTTAGCTCAGCGCACCTCTCTAATCAAGGTCTACTCGCGCAAATAACAAACAACCGATAAAAAGTAATTAATAAAAAAAAGAACGCAATCCCCTGACCGTAGGTCCTTCGAGATAACGTGAGATAAGCAGACGATACGAGTGTCGAATTGAAGCAGGAATCGTTGTATCTAATCGAACTTCGGCTCGGCTTCGATAAGAGCGAAAACACGAGGCTAATGACACAAATATGAAATTACACACACACGTACTTGACCAGTTGGCAGATGTCAGGCGGAATTATCTCGATCTTGTTGTCCGAGAGATTAAGATAGGTCAGCGCCGGCAGCTCCAGCAGCTCCCGCGGGATCTTCCGGAGATCGTTGCTCTCCAGATGGACGGCACGAAGTTTCGGGAACCTTCGTGGGAATAGAGTTACGTACGAATTAACTACCAATTAAAGTTTCCTTGTAGTTCCGCCGCATTGTGTTATCGGGCCCCCCCGTTTTTCCCTCTCTCTTCGTTCTTATCAGAGCTTAATTATTCGCTCTACTTTAGTAAATTCCACGTGCGCCGCAACAATTAATTTAACTTTTGCTCCTATTTTCGCTACCGCACGCTTTTCTTTTCTCCCTCCATTCGTTTCCCGGCTCCCTCTCACTCTCTCTCTCTCTCTCTCTCTCTCTCTCTCTCTCTCTCTCTCTCTCTCTCTCTCTCCCTCTCCCTCTCTCTTTCTCTCCTTTCTCGCGCCGAGCGCGGTATTCAAATAGCAGGGCTGCTCTTTACTTGGCTCTTTTCTTTTTTCGTTGCTGAAAGTGATCGGGAAGGTGATCGAGTTGGAAGACGAAGAAATCGAGTTCTACAAAGTTCTCCCTCATGATTCTTCCTCTGACACTTCTACACCGCGAATAATTTTTTTCTTCGCAACATGGAAGCTATTCAACGAAAAGGTGGAAAAGCTAAGAGAGATAAGAAAAAAGTGCATGTACCTGTGCAGAAGTTTCAGATTATTATCGACGTTGGTGAGCTGGTTGTGTCCCAATGCGAGCTCTTCTATCGCCGGGAAGGCGATCACGCTGTCAGGGATCCTCGACAGGCCGCCTTTGCTCAGGTCCAACTTTTTCGGGCATGACGACAACTGCGTGGCCTGCGAAAACAAAGAGAAAACACGACGCGTCACGAAAATTCATTCGAGAAAATATACCGTTGCGGAATGAAGCCTGGACTAAGACCGGTATCCCGAATTCTCCTTCTCTTTTATCGATAAAACTGGCTCTAAAAGTGACTTATAAGCTTTCTGATTGGCTGTAAGCTACTTTTAAAGCTGCTTTTATCGATAATAGAGAGAGAGAGAGAGGGAGAGAGAGAGAGAGAGAGAGAGAGGGAGAAAAAGAGAGAGTTCGGAATATCGGTCGAAATTATTATCGCGATTTCGTTAAACTGAACGAAGCTCCGGCCGATTTTACCTCGAACTCCAACGAGTCCGTATCCATGGTGTCGTCTCCGTCAAAATCGCGTTCATCCATGATGACGATCAAATCTCCAATATGTACCATCTGCCGAACAACCGCATGTTCTCGCACGACACACGCTGCGCATCGAGCACACACGCGGCGAGCGGCTTAATTAATTGATCCTGACGTTGGGATCTTTTCTCACGGCTTATCTTGATGAGTAATTATCGCTGACAGGCCATGCGCGATTCAGCCGGCACGTAACGTTCGCTCAGAAGCCGAACTGTTCGCGAGGACACCCCCCTGATTGTACATTGCGCATTGTAACACACAATTTCGCGTTTTCGTTCACCAGCACGGCGCGCGAATTCTCGTGTCGATTGTTTAAAACGCTATTTCCGCGTAATTTTAAATACGGTTGATTCTGCCGGTCGGTTTTCCGTTTCATTGTAATCCATCGCACATTACGAGGCAATAGATCCATTCAAATCAATCAGTTCGTTAGCGCACAGGCGAGATCGCCTAATAACGAATCAATAATTTAACAATATCCACATAGGTGCACACGTAGGTGACGGTGGGGGACGGCGGCACTTGCCCGTAACAAACGTTCCAACGAATTTCAACGTTGTAGCAATTTCGTCACGTCGTCCCGAAGGTAGCAGATTCGAAATCACACAAAATGACCAATCGGCGTGACGCAATTATCGAATTGCGAATGTGCGAAACTAATTGCATGCGAAACGCTTGCAAATGTGAAAGTAGTGTCGTCTGCATGACGCGCCTAATGAAATTCGAGAAATTATGTAGAATTGTACAGGAAGGAGGAGACGATCATGCATGTTTTTATAATTCTCTCGATCACGCAATGTTACGCAGAGAGAATGCCGTCGTACATCGCTTCTCTTCATTTTCTTTTGTAAAAGTGATTTCTCAAATGCAATTATAATAATTACATTTCATTTCGTAAATTAATGATGCGGTGATAACTTAATGACGATCATCGGTGACTGCTACGGCACATATAAACGGTACGTTAAAATTGATTAACAAACAAGAGATGCATTTATTTAATTACATTTTTTTTAAATTTAACTCGCTAAATATAACTCGCTAGAGTCGCATCGGAAGCACATCGCTATTTCGTTGTTGCCTTTCTTCCCGATACACTCCAACGATAATTTATTCGGTGTTTACGCCACTCTCTCAATATGGCACTTTTTTTCGTACTCGAGCGGACCATTTTATCGTCGGATAGGTCGGACATTATAATGCATTCTTCTACCTCGCTGAACTTCATTGTAAGAAACCGACGTAAAGCAGCGCCGGTGCACGAGCAATATTTGTGCCGACAAGTATTGTTCTGCTCGTTGCGTCGGCTACGAATAGCCTCATTGTCCGCGGCGAACTTTCGACCGAACAATGAAGACGTCAGTCAAAGCTTTCTTATCGTCGTTAGATTCGTCCGCGATCGTGCGCGAAGCTTCCTAAAACAATACGACGGAAAAATCGCTACCGGTATCGCTAGAAAGCAGAACCAAGGCGCACTGATCGAATCAAAGTATAACAAAAATGTTACGATGACGATACGACAGCGTCATCCTTGAAAATGACCACGGCGGAGATGAATACTCCAATTGGTAATTAAACAATGTAGACGAGAGCCACGCAGAGTGATAGTTATAAATAATTATTTCTTCCAAAAAATAATTATCGGCAAAGTATCAAGCACGTGCCGAGAAAGATTGTTGATCCTTCATAATATAAATAATTATTCGCAATCGTCACGAGCTCTAAAAAGATTTTCTGATTGAATATACCTCAAAATATTGATTATTAGTGCTTCATCCTGCCAAAAATATTTGATATATAAATAAGGATATTTTTGGACTTTGCACTCTCGACCGTTACATTTTCTCGTACAAAAGTTAGCTCTCTCTTTTTTCTCTCTCTCTCTCTCTCTCTCTCTCTCTTTCCCCGTCGCTTTGCTAAAACAGGACTTTCGAGTCGCGTTGTATCTTCAAGCTAGGAAGTATCGTCGTTTCGTAATCTTTATCCTTGCTTCGAAAGCCCGACAGCTTCTTAACACCGTACACGTTCGGATCCGCGGGATGACATTCCTCGTCTCTCATGATAATGCAGTTTAAATGCGTTACCATGATAATCGAGAAGCTCTTCCATGGGACGCCATTAGAGCGAGTGGCCTCGTTGATGAAGAGGAAAATGGGATTACGAGGAAAAGCGAGCGGTGGCACGTCGTGATGGGAAAGTCTGGAGTCGCCTGAGCGAGCACGATCGTCGCGCGATGTCGGTTCGCTAATTTCCGATCGGAAGACACATCAGCTCTCAGGGGAAAGTGCTTTCGATCTTAGATATCTATGTTTGCGCAGTCGGGGCTTCGACCGCTTCGACCAGTTCGGAGGTAACTTTTTTTTCACGAAGCTCCTCCTAAAGTTGTCTGTAGTCGGAACTCGAGAGAGGTGATTTCGTTATCTCGTTGAAATCGCCTTTTAATAACTCCGCAATAATAACTCCCACGCAACATGAAAGTCTAAAAGGCGTCTCTGAGACGCCTTCTCTCTAGTCCCATCTTATCGTCCCAGAAACAACTTTAAGACACCTTAAGACGTCTTATTGTTCCCTGGGAAGTTACTAAATTGGGACGCGAACAGCTTCTGAAGTAACGCGAATGTTTAAACGACATTGTGAGCCGTTTGACATCCTCGAAATCTCAGGTATTTCGAATGCTTTTGGGCTTTTCCTCCCTTTGACCAGACGTGATAAAACCGCTGGACGCTTCCAGACGTTCTTTCAGACTCTTCAAGCTCTGCATCCTTTTATCTTTCGATCCAAATCGCGCTTCGACTCTTCAGCAACTGTGAATGTCTTAACAATTTTTCCGCGAGAGAAATCGCATTCTCTCCTGACGATACGCTCCTAGCCTGACGTAGTCTCCGAAGCCCACACAACCCCGCGGTATCTAGAATTAACTTCACTTCTCCATCGGCCGTCTCAATTCCACCAATTTCCCGGCGATAATTTCCCATCGGAACCCAACTGGATCGATTCTACTTTCCGATCGTAACTCGGCTGCTGACCGTTCGCGCGCCGAAAGCTCGTCGAGCGCGATGGAAGAGGAGGTGGTGACGAAGGAGACGGGGACGGATGGTGAGGCAAGGCCAAGAAGAACAGATCGACCGGGAACGTGGATGTGAAAAAAGCTGCGCGTATCGGCAGGCTGGTTGACACACGCCGGTGATGGCGTGAAAACGAGAGAAGGAAACGAGACGAGACGAGACGTTCCCAGCTAACGGACGCGCTTACCTCACCGTGAAGAGAAGAGAACGGCAGGAAGGGCAGGAGAAAACGCGGAGGAGGACGAAGAGGACGACGAGACGACCACGAGAAAGAGGAGGAAAAGAAAGAGCAAAAGAAGCGGAGGAAGAGAGAGAGAGAGAGAGAGAGAGAGAGAGAGAGAGAGAGAGAGGAAACGAGAAGTTTCGTTTCTCGGCTGTCTGCACTCGTCGATGGTGGCTAACGAGGGAAGTAACTTTCCCGGTAATGCCGGGAAAGTTCGGATCAGTCGATACTGCGACGCGTCAGGCGAGCTTCGATACAAGAAGGATAATCCGCCGGATGATAACCCGGCGATAGCAATAGCGATAGAGGATCATAATGACAGACACAACCGAGTCGTCTCCTCCCGACGACGGGAGTCGTTCGTCCGACATTTTGCAGCGAGGTCTTTTTTCGCTGTCCCTTCGTTCTTCTCGACTCTATTCTTCCGGTTTCGCGACCTCTTTTTATTTTTATTTCTTCTTTATTATTTTTTATTAAGAGCGCGTCGCAGCACCCACGTATGTATATAGTCGCGTATTGCGGCGGCTATCATGTGCGTCACGTGTCCCAGGGGGCGCGAGAGGGTTGCGGCGCGAAAAGCAATTATCGAGTGGCCGCGTAGATCAGAGAGACGCATCGAGGAGGATCTATGGGACTGCGATGGCCTGCGAAATAGATTCGTGCGCGCTGCGCGAATTATGATGAGAATGTAATTAGCGAGCGCTGTTATTACATCGGACATGAATTCGCTTAATATAGTATACCGTTCGCCACGCACACGTAAATTCATCGCGTGAATTATGTAAACCGTTAAACGAGTCCGCTGCTTTCGGCGGGGTACACAATGGTCGCGATTGCGGCGCGCGGCGCGGGCCGGGACGGGGGAGCGCGCGGAAGACGAATTGGCAACAAAAATTGGCCGAAGATCGGGGAAGCCGCTGATGACGATTGTCGCGCTTAATTGCTCGACACGCTCACTCGGGCGAGCGATAACGCACGGTCGGATCGCGGGAATTATTAATTCGCGAGCGGCGGACATAATCGCGGAACGACTCGTTAATCGATGGGTCGCGATTCACCGGGGACTCTTCATGAAAACGAAATAAACTCTCCCCGCGTCGGAGAGGTATTATTTTTTACGGCGACGAATGAATCGCTCGACGCGATCGACCGTTAATTATTTCGGGCGACGTCGATCGCAGGAAGCGCCGACGCGAGGCAAGGCGCGAGGCATTTTTTATTAATCACCGAATCTCTCTACAAAGCGCGGCTCGCGCGAACGGTCGCGCGCGATCAAAATGAAACCGTTGTGTGTGCGCGCGCGCGCGCGTGTGTGTGTGTGCGCGCGGCGAAA